TTTAAGAGTATTTAAGAGTGAAGCACTATCATATCTGTAACTTGCTTTCAAATGCTGCAGCCAAAAAATGTGTAGAGAAATGGGTGGATGGGTGAATTGGTAGATGAATGGATGGATGAAGGGAGGGACAGAGGGAGAATGGATGGAGGAAGAGTGGATGAATGGAAGGATGATGGGTGCATGTATGGATGGATGAATGAAGGGTGGACGAATGGATGAAGGGCAGATGGATGGTAGATAAATGGATAGGGGTAGTGGGTGGATAGCTGGGTGGAGAAAGGAAAGAAGGAAGGAAGAAAGGAGGGAGGGAGAGTAAATGGACGGATGGATGATGGAGGGATGAAGGGAGGTGCAGAGGGAGGGTGGATGGATGGATGAATCGATAGATGGAGGATGGATGGATGGATGGATGAAGGGTGGATGGATGGAGAGAAGATGACTGGATAAAGGGTAGTAGGTGGATGGATGGGTAGAGGGAGGGAGGGAGGAAAGAAAAAGGGAGGAAGGGTGAATGAATGGAGGGAGAGAGGACGGATGGATGGAGGGATGAAGAGAGGGATAGATGGAGGGATGGAGAGAGGGATGGAGGGTGGATGGAGGGATTAATGAAAGGATATAGGCAAAACATTAATTTATAAATCTAGGTGAAAGTCTTATGGTTGTTTATTACATTAACGTTTTCAATTTCACTCTAAATTTATAAATGTCCCCCTTATAAAAAAGACACCCACACAAAAGTCCCCTTCTGCTTGAGATCTTGGGGGGGAAAAGGAGAGCACAAACCTTTCTCCTCTTCTTTACTAAATTTGTGGCATCAAAACAATCTTAAAAGATTGGAGTGACAGCCCCTGTTTAACAAGCAAAACAGGTTCAGAAGGGTAGGTGCTGAGACGTGGAGAGTTGAGACCCCAGCTCCCCGCTGCCTGGGCCCTGGTGCTAGAAGAGAAAGAGGTCCCCACACCATGCCCATCCTAGCCCCAGCATGAACCCATCTTCCCTCCATGCCCTGAGGTTATGCCTGGGCCACTCACGGCAGTTTGGTGGGAAGGAGGAGCTGGCATTTGCTGAGCCACCTCAAACTGGATTGAGATGTCACTCGGGGAGCAAAATCTAAGTGACAGAGCCAGGTCTCCCCCTAATCAGAACAACAGTCTGGCCAGCTGAGAACACAAGGTTCCTTCCTGCCCCCTGAGGAGGAGGCCAGCGCCAGTGTCCCCGCCCTGCACCGCTGGTTTAATGGCATTACAACAAGAACAGTGTGTTCAGCCAAGCTGGGCATGATCCTGTCTGACTTCTTATTCTTACAACCTCTGCAAAGGGCTGTTAATCCCAGGAAACAGGCAGTCTCGGCGCCACGATTCCTCCAAGCTGAACCCCAGGGGCCTCGATGTGATCAGAAACGGAGTGAGAGGTTTATGGGCTGGTAGGACCCTGGGTGCTGTAATGGCAACTGGTTTCCATTAGGGGTGACATTTCTGCCAAGGCTGGGGCTGTAGCTTGAGCCAGAGGCTCTGCTGGGATTGCGGCCAGGATGCAAACGGCCCAGCCAGTGAGCCTGCCACCAGCCCACGGAGTTAACAGAGGGGTGATGGACCTTAAATATAGATGTGTATGGCCGGGCGCGGTGGCTCATGCCTGTAATCCCAACACTTTGGGAGGTCGAAGAAGGTGGATCACCTGAGGTCAGGAGTTTGAGACCAGCCTGGTCAACATGGTGAAACCCTGTCTCTACTAAAAATACAAAAATAATTAGCCGGGCATAGTGGCAGGTGCCTGTAATCCCAGCTACTCGAGAGGCTGAGGCAGGAGAAGTGCTTGAACCTGGGAGATAGAGGTTGCAGTGAGCTGAGATTGTGCCACTGCACTCCAGCCTGGGCGACAGAGTGAGACTCTGTCAAAAAAAAAAAGATATATATACATATATATACATGTATATATATGTATCTAGATGTCTATGAACACACATGTACACAGTATATACATATACATGCACATATATACAGTTGACCCTTGAAAAATACAGGTTTGAACTGCCCATGTCACTAATATGTGGATTTTCTTCCACCTCTGCCCGAGACAGCAGGACCCACCCCTCCTCTTCCTCCTCCTCCTCAGCCTATTCAACATGAAGACGACAAAGAAGAAGACCTTTACAATGATCCATTCCCACTTCATGAACAGTCAAGATATTTTCTCTTCTTTATTATTGTTTTTTTACCTGAGCCTGTCAGTGTACCTTATGATTTTCTTAATAACATTTTCCTTCCTCTAGCTTACATTAGTGTAAGAATACAGTATATCATACATAGAAAGTACAAAATCTGTGTTCGATGACTCTTTATGTCATCACTAAGGCTTCTGGTCAATAGTAAGCTACAGGTAAAGTTTAGTTGAGTTTAGTTTTGAGACAGGGTCTTGCTCTGTCACCCAGGCTGGAGTACAGTGGCATGATCACGGCTCACTGCAGTCCCAATCTTCCAGGCTCAAGCGATCCTCCTGCCTCAGCCTCTTGAGTAGCTGGGACTACAGGCATGCACCATCACATCCAGCTGGGTTTTTTTTTTTATTTGTTTTCGTTTTGATACAGATGGGATTTCACCATGTTGCCCAGGCTGGTCTCAAACTCCTGGGCTCAAGCTATCCTCCCGCCTCAGTCCCCCAAAGTGCCGAGATTACAGGTGTGAGCCCCCACACCCGGTCGGGAACTCTACTTCTTGTTCAAGGCTTTTATAAACTTACAACTGCTCTTAAAAACTTAAGTCTATTGGCGGGGCGCAGTGGCTCACGCCTGTAATCCCAGCACTTTTTGAGGCCGAGGTGGGTGGATCACAAGGTCAGGAGATCGAGACCATCCTGGCTAACACAGTGAAACCCCGTCTCTACTAAAAATACAAAAATTAGCTGGGCATGGTGGCGGGCACCTGTAATCCCAGCTACTTGGGAGGCTGAGCCAGGAGAATGGCGGGTGAACCCGGGAGGCGGAGCTTGCAGTGAGCTGAGATCACGCTACTACACTCCAGCCTGGGCAACAGAGCAAGACTCTGTCTCTTAAAAAAATAATAATAATAAGTCTATTAATTCAAAGAAAAATACACACACACATCTTATACAATTAGAATTGCAAAATAATAGACCCAGGATAAATGAATGGCAGACACAGCTCTAAGTTCACCTTGTCTTCGCACTCAGCGTGCCTGTGTGGAGAAACTCCCAGGGCCTCTGCACTAAGGGAAGGCTGAAGGCAGTGGGGAATCAGGCCCCATAGCAGCAGCTCTGTGTCAGGTCTGGGTGCAGTGGTGCCCTGAGGCAGAGTGGTGATCAGCATTGTCAGCCCTGGGCCACAGCCTAAATGTCCATAAGAAATAAATAGCAGGCCGGGCGCGGTGGCTCAAGCCTGTAATCCCAGCACTTTGGGAGGCCGAGATGGGCGGATCACGAGGTCAGGAGATCGAGACCATCCTGGCTAACATGGTGAAACCCCGTCTCTACTAAAAAATACAAAAAAACTAGCCGGGTGAGGTGGCGGGCACCTGTAGTCCCAGCTACTCGGGAGACTGAGGCAGGAGAATGTGTAAACCCGGGAGGCGGAGCTTGCAGTGAGCTGAGATCTGGCCACTGCACTCCAGCCTGGGCAACAGAGCGAGACTCCATCTCAAAAAAAAAAAAAGAAAGAAAGAAAGAAATAGCAATGGGCCGGGCGCAGTGGCTCACGTCTGTAATCCCAACACTGGGAGGCCAAGGTGGGCAGATCATGTGAGGTCAGAAGTTCAAGACCAACCTGGCCAACATGGTGAAACTCCATCTCTACTGGAATACAAAGATTAGCCAGGCGTGGTGGTGGGCACCTGCAATCCCAGCTACTCCAGAGGCTGAGGTGGGAGAATCACTTGAACCCTGGAGACAGAGGTTGCAGTGAGCTGAGATCACGCCACTGCACTCCAGCCTGGGTGACAGAGTGAGACTCTGTCTCAAAAAAAAAAGAAAGAAAAGAAAAGAAATAAATAGTAATGCATGCATGCATTCCACAGAATTCTCCCCTTGCTGGGGAGATAAAGGATCCCTGTGTCAGCTGCAGTGTTAGGTCCCTTAGAGCAGGGGTCCCCAACTCCTAGGGCCATGGACCAGTACTGATTCATGGCCTGTTAGGAACCGGGTAACACAGCAGGTGATGAGTGGCAGGCCAGCAGTCAAAAACCTCATCTGTATTTACAGCCGCTCGCCATCACTCACATTACCACGTGAGCTCCGCCTCCTGTCAGATCAGCAGCGGCAGCATTAGATTCTCCCACGAGCGTGAACCCTATTGTGAACTGCGCTTGCGTGGGATTTAGGTTGCATGCCCCTAATGAGAATCTAATGCCTGATGATCTGTCACTGTCTCCCATCACCCCCAGATGGGACTGTCCAGTTGCAGGAAAACAAGCTCAGGGCTACCACTGCTTCTACATGAAGGTGAATTGTATCATTGTTTCCTTATATATTGCAACGCTATAATAATAGAAATAAAGTGCAAAATAAACATAATGTCCTTGAATCATCCTGAAACTATCCCCTGCACCTGTGCCCCGGTCCGTGGAAAAATTGTCTTCCACAAAACTAATCTTTGGTGCCCAAAAGGCTGACTACTGCTGCCTTAGAGGCTCACTCATGCTGCTTTTTATTTGAGAAGGAATATTGCTTTGTCACCCAGACTGAAGTGCAGTGGTGTGATCTCAGTTCATTGCAACCTCCACCTCCCAGGTTTAAGCAGTTCTCCTGCCTCAGCCTCCCGAGTAGCTGGGATTACAGGCACGCACCACCACACCTGGCTAATTTTTGTATTTTTAGTAGAGATAGGGTTTCACCATGTTGGCCAGGCTGGTCTCAAAATCCTGACCTCCAGTGATCCGCCCGCCTCAGCCTCCCAAAGTGCTGGGATTACAGGTTGAGCCACGGCACCCGGCTCATGCTGCTTTTTGGATCCCGCATGGCCCAGGAAGGGCAGCACCTGAAAATCTTACCTGCAGTGGGTGGGAGGGTGGCTGTAGCTGCAGGTAGCACTGGCTGGGGGAGTACCAGCTTCCGAGGGAGAGGTAGCTGGGCAGGTACTGAGCCCCCACGGGCTTTCCATTCAGTGCTGTCACCTTGGTCTGAAGAACAGAAGACACTTGGGTCAACACCTGAGTCCCAAGAGCAGAAAGGGGGTCTTGGGGATGCTTCTGCCTGCTCTGCTCAGAAGTAACACCCTCTCATGCTCCAGTATCCCTTTGGAGAACCCCCTCCCCAATCCTCAGGGAGTAGCATCCAGTTGTCCAGCCCGGTCATCCTAGCTCCAAGAAGCAAGCGTCTAGCTGGGCACTGTGACTCACACCTCTAATCACAGCATTTTGGGAGGCTGCAGCAGGTGGATCATCTAAAGCCAGGAGTTCAAGACCAGCCTGGTCAACATGGTGAAATCCTGTCTCTACTAAAAAAAAATACAAAAATTAGCCAGGAGTGGTGGGGCACACCTGTAATCCCAGCTACTCGGGAGGCTGAGGCATAAGAATTGCTTGAACCCAGGAGGCAGAGGCTGCCGTGAGCCGAGATCACACCATTGCATTCCAGCCTGGGCAACAGAGCAAGACTCTGTCCCAAAAAAAAAAAAACTAGAAGAAGAAGAAGAAAGTGTCAAAAATTGGTCGAAGGGTGTTGGGGGCCAGGCACAGTGGGTTCATAGCTGTAATCTCAGCATTTTGGGAGGCAGAGGTGGGAGAATCACTTGGGCCCAGGAGTTCAAGACCAGCCTGGGCAACACAGCAAGATCCGGTCTCCACAAAAAAATTTTTGAAAATTACTGGGGCGTGGTGGCGCATGCCTGGAGACTCAGCTACTAGGGGAGGTTGAGGCAGGAGGATCACTTGAATCCAGGAGTTCAAAGCTGCAATTAGCTATGATCACACCATTGTACTCCAGCCTGGACAACAGAGCTAGACCACGTCTCTGAAATCATTTTAAAAAGAAGTTGGGCTGGGCGCGGTGGCTCACACCTATAATCCCAGCACTTTTGGGAGGCCAAGGTGGGCAGATCATGAGGTCAGGAGATCAAGACCATCCTGGCCAACATGGTGAAACCCTGTCTCTACTAAAATACAAAAAATTAGCTGGGCATGGTGGCATGCACCTGTAGTCCCAGCTACTTGGGAGGCTGAGGCAGGGGAATCACTTGAACATGGGAGGCAGAGGTTGCAGTGAGCCAGGATCATGCCACTGCATTCCAGCCTGGGCAACAAGAGCAAAACTCCATCTCAAAAAAAAAAGTTGGCCTGCCTCTGTCTCTGGCTCCTGGGACTCTAAATAGGGTATAAATGGGCCACACCAGAAAGGCCAGTTGTGTGATTAGACCGCTGGGCTTTGAGCCACAGGATATCAGCCCCACCTCCAGGGAAGGGAGAGGGCAGGAGACTGAGATCAGTCCCATGGCCAATGATTTAATCAATCATGCAGATGAAATGAGTTCCCCACAAAAAACTTTGGATGCCAAAGCTCAGGTGAACTTTCCTGCTTAGCAATGCTCAACTTGTGGGGATGATATATCCTGGTTCTGTACAGAGCACACACAAAGCTTCCAATCTGGGAATCGCCCAGACCTTGCTCTATGCATCTTTCTCTTTGGTTGGTTCTAATTTGAGTCATTTTGCTATGGTAAAGCTGTAATTAAAAGGTGGTGGGGTAGTGGAATTTGCAGCCAGTGGGTGGGAAGCACAGGTGGCCCGGGGACCCCTGGACTTGCAGCTGGTGTCAGAATTCAGGGTAGTCTTGTAGAGAGGGCTGTACCCATCACCTGTGAAGTGTGGCCCAGCTCCGGTAGCTGGTGTCAGAAGTCACTGCAACCTCCCACCTGGTAGGGGGTGGGCAGGGCAGATCTCTGGTTCCTCAAGGAGTCTGAGAGATGCCAGGCTATGGTCATTCTCTTAAAACAGGACAATGGGGCCAGGCGCGGCGGCTCACACCTATAATCCCAGCACTATGGGAGGCCGAGACGGGGGATCACGAGGTCAGGAGATCAAGACCATCCTGGCTAACATGGTGAAAATCATCTCTACTAAAAATACAAAAAAATTAGTTGGGCATGGTGGCAGGCGACTGTAGTCCCAGCTACTTGGGAGGTTGAGGCAGGAGAATGGCGTGAACCCGGGAGGCGGAGCTTGCAGTGAGCCGAGATCGCGCCACTGCACTCCAGCCTGGGCGACTGAGCGAGACTCCGTCTCAAAACAAACAAACAAACAAACAATTAAAAAAAAAAAAAAAAAAGGACAGTGGGCCCAGCACAGTGGCTCACAGCTGTAATTCCAGCACTTTGGGAGGCCGAGACAGGTGGATTGCCTGAGGTCAGTAGTTCAAGACCAGCCTGACCAGCATGGTGAAACCCTATCTCTACTAGAAATACAAAAATTAGCCAGGTGTGGTGGCGGAGGGGGGGCGCCTGTAATCCCAGCTACTTGGGAGGCTGAGGCAGGAGAATCACTTGAACCTGGGAGGCGGAGGTTGCATAAGTCAAGATTGCACTCCTGCACTCCAGCCTAGGTGATAGAGCAAGACTCTACATTTAAAAAAAAAAAACAGAACAGTGGCCCAGGTGACCAAACAGCTGCTGTGTGTCGAGCAGCAGATCCAACACAAGAAAGCGTGAACACATCTGGCTGTGAATGTCGAGTGGCAAAGGCAGTGGCTTCGGTAGTTAAAACCTTTAGGGACATGATGCCCACAGAGGACAAAGTGACCATAGTGTCCTCAGTTCCCATCTACGTATTTACTCTCTGCAGGGCCGCCAGGTCCACTGCCAGTTCCCAAAGCCAAGCGCTGAGACATCCTCTCCAATCCCTCCTGTTCTTCCCTCCCCTGATGATGGGACATCAAAGCCTGCCGGATCTACTTCTTCAAGAGCTCCAGTTTAGGGACCTCTCTGTCCTCACCTCCTGTCTGCCTGCCTGGGCCCTCCCTGAGCCACCCCTCACTGAAGACTCTGGAGTGATCACTGCGTATCAAAAATCAGATCAGGCCAGACATGGCGGCTCATGGCCTGTAATCCCTATGCTTTGGGAGGCTGAAGTGGAAGGATGGCTTGAAGCCAGGAGTTTGAGACCAGTCTGGGCAACATAGCAAGATCCCATCTCTACAGAAAAATTTATTATTTATTGATTTGTTTGTTTGTTTGTTTTTGAGATGGAGTCTCACTCTGTTGCCCAGGCTGGGGTGCGACGGCACAATCTCGGCTCACTGCAACCTCTGCCTCTCAGGTTCAAGCAATTCTCCTGCCTCAGTCTCCCGAGTGGCTGAGATTATAGGCGCCTGCCACAACATCTAGCTAATTTTTGTATTTTTAGTAGAGACGGGATTTCCCCATGTTGGCCAGGCTGGTCTCGAACTCCTGACCTCAGGTGATCCGCTCAGCTCAGCCTCTCAAAGTGCTAGGATTACAGGCATGAGCCACCGTGCCCAGCCTCTACAGAAAATTTTAAAAATTAGCTGGGTGTGGTGCTAATTACAGGCATGCACCTGTAATCTCAGGTACTTGGGAGGCTAACTCAGGAGGACTGCTTTAGCCCAGCAGTTCGAGGCTGCAGTGAGCTATGATGGTGCCACTGCACTGCAGCCTGAGCAACTGAATGAGATGCTGTCTCTTAAAAAATAAAAAATAAGATCACTCTTTCCCCCGATACTGCCTTCCACAGAGCACCTCTGTGAGGTGGCGGAAACCACTACCCAATCTCTTTCCAAAATGACTCAATGTGGTTGAGCGCCTGTGAGACCATATAATCACGGTCTGCCTCTGAACCTCCACCCAGGCTGTTCCACCCTCCCAGAAGCAGCCTGGTTGACGTCCCCATAGTCAGGAGTCCATTTGGAGAGATCCCCTCTGACAAGACTCCTTTGCTACAACCGGTCCAGGCACCCTTATCTCTCTTTGACCTCCCACCTGATCCCAGGATGGCTGTGTTGTCCATCCCACTGTCCAGTGGAACGTGTACTGCTGTAGGGCTAGGATGGGCTCCAGGCCCACTGATCAGGTGCCTGCACCCAGCCTAGGGGAGTCACCAAGTCCGTACCTACTGAATAACAAGGGTCCATGGGACTCACCCACCTCAAGCCACACGTGCTGGGCTGACGTGGGGATGGAGGGGATTTCAAACCCCACCAGTCCACCCTGGGACACAGCTTCACTGGTGTAGATGTTATCCTTCGGTGTCAGCTCTGCCTTAATCTGGACCGTCACCCCCTCAGCTGGGCTGCCATCTGGGTAAGATAGCTCCACCTAGAAAAGGTCACCCAAGACACAACAGAGTTAAGACGGCCATGCGCCCCAAACTGATCTGCAGAATCAACACAATCTCCACTGGAATCCCAGCAGGCTTCTTTGTAGAAATTGACAAACTGCTCCTGAAATTCACACGGCATCCAACGGGTCCCAAATAGCGAAAACAATTCTTAAAGGGAACAAAAAAGAAGGACTCACAGGTTCAGGTGTGGTGGCGTGTGCCTGTGGTCCCAGCTACTCAAGAGGCTTCCAAGTCAGACATGGAAGGGTGGGTGCAGTGGCTCACACCTGTAATCCCAACACTTTGGGAGGCCAAAGCAGGAGGATCACTTGAGGCCAGGAGTTCCAGACCAGCCTGGGTAACATAGTGAGACCTCACTACAAAAAACTTAAAAATTTCAGGAGTGGTGGCATGCGCCTATGGTCCCAACTATTCAGGAGCCTGAGGCAGGAGGATCACTTGAGTCTAGGAGTTCAAGGCTGCAGAGAGCTATGATGGTGCCACTGCACTCCAGCCTGGGTGACTGAATGAGACCCTGTCTCTTAAGAAAAAAAAAAATGTTTTAAATGAAGTTGCATCCCTACCTCATACCATATACACAAATAAACTCAAATGGATCACAGACCTAAATGTAACAGCTAAAGCTATAACATTCTTAGAAGAAAACATAAGGGTAGACCTTCATGCCCTTGGATTTGGCAAAGAGGTCATGAAGTACAAATTACATGTGCCGGCCATTAGTCTGATGCCATATCAGGGTATGGACAGTTCAGTGTGACACTTAAACCTCACCCATTCAGACTGGTTGGAGAGCCAGCTAGAATGAGGCAGACATGGATGTTTTAAAAGGAGCTTCTGAAGAACCCTAAAACAGCCCTCAGCTGTGCAGGTATTTGGTGATGGAGGGAATCAGGATTCAGCCCACACGATCCTCATTAACCACTCCCTTCTTTTTTTTTTCTTTTTTGAGAGACAGAGTCTTGCTCTGTTGCCCAGGCTGGAGTGAAGTGGCCCGATCATAGCTCACTGCGGCCTCTACCTCTTGGGCTCAAGCAATCCTCCTGCCTCATCCTCCTGATAGCTGGGACCACAGGTGTGCAATACCATGCCTGGCTAATTAAAAAAAAAAAAAATTTGTAGAGCTGGGGTCTTGCTCTATTGCTGAGGATGGTCTCAAACTCCCAGTCTCAAGCAATCCTCCCACCTTGGTCTCTCAAAGTGTGAGCCACCAACACCTGGGCTATTTTTATTTTTTGTAGAGACTGGATCTCACTATGTTGCCCAGGCTAGTCTCACACTTTTGGCCTCAAGTGGTCCTCTTGCCTCAGCCTCCCAAAGCACTGGAACTACAGGCATGAGCCACCATGCCCAGTCTAACCACTCCTTTCTTGAATGCAGATGGTAGATATTTTCTGTCATATGTGAAATGCTCTTTACCAAATTTGTAGCCTTAGACCTCTTCTTCACACACATTCTGACCCTGCACAAGGTACTTTAGTTTCTACTCAAGCTGGGGCCCTCAAAACCAGGGACACAGGAGATAGGTCTCTGTGCATGGGATAGAGGTGGTTCCAACACTGGCATGGAGAAGAAAAAGGAGGTTCCAAAGCAGAGCAAGAGGATCAGAACTCAGTGTGAGGACAGCCAGCCAGCATCACTCATGGACAGCAAAAGGGAACTGGGTGCAGGCAGACGCAGGGCCAGGGGTGTGGCCCACTTTCTCCTTGCATGACACTGGGCTCTGTTGGCCTTGCCCCACTCCTGCTGCTGCAACTGGGGTGAAGTTACCCTAGGTTTATTTTTTTATTTTTTTGGTTTTTTCATTTGAGACAGAGTCTCACTCTGTCTCCCAGACTGGAGTGCGGTGGTGTGATCTCAGCTCACTGCAACCTCTGCCTCCCACATTCAAGCAATTCTCGTGCCTCAGTCTCCTGAGTCACTGGGATTATAGGTGTCCACCACCACGCCTGGCTAATTTTTGTATTTTTAGTAGAGACAGTATTTCAGAACCATGTTGGCTAGGCTAGTCTTGAACTCCTGACCTCAGGTCATCCACCCACCTGGGCCTCCCAAAGTGCTGGGATTATTGTCATGAGCCACCATGCCCAGCCTACCCCAGTTTAATAGTTAAAATAATAATAATGACTGGGTGCAGTGGCTCACACCCGCAATCCCAGCACTTTGTGGGTCTGAGGTAGGAGAACTGCTTGAGCCCAGGAGTTTAAGACCAGTCTGACCAACACAGCAAGATCCCATCTCTACAAAAATTTTAAAAATTAGCCAGGCACCGTGGCTCATGTCTGCAATCTCAGCACTCTGGGAGGCTGAGGCAGGTGGATCACCTGAGGTCAGGAGTTCGAGACCAACCTGGCCAACATGGTGAAACTCCATCCCTACTAAAAATACAAAAATTAGCGGGGTGTGGTGGGGCATGCCTGTAATCCCAGCTACTCAGGAGGCTGAGGCAGAAGAATCGCTTGAACCCAGGAGGCAGAGGTTGCAATTAGCCAAGATCGAGCCCCTGCACTCCAGCCTGGGTGACAGAGCGAGACTGTCTCAAAAATAAATAAATAAATAAAAATTTAAAAATAAAAAAATTTGTTGGGCCTGGTCGCTCATGCCTGCAGTACCAGCTACCCAAGATGCTGGGGCAGACAGATTGCTTGAGTCCAGGATGTCGAGGCTGCAATGAGCTATGATCTCACCACTGCACTCCAGCCTGGGCGACAGAGCAAAACCCTGTCTCTAAGAAAAAACATATATAAGGATCACGACATCTGGACGCCTCAAAATTTACTGTGCATAAGACTTGAGTGGTGGGTGGGAGGCAGAGTCTCGTTCAAAATGTCACACAGGTCTGCACCTGTCAGTCTCAGGAACAGGAGATCTACCTCTGCAGGGCTCTCAACTTAGGTCCTCAGGGGATAAAATCAACCCAGTGAAGGGCCATGAGTGATGGCTCACTCCTGTAACCCGAGCACTTTGGGAGGCCAAGGCTGGAGGTTCACTTGAGGCCAGGAGTTCGAGACCAGCCTGGCCAACATGGCAAAACCCCATCTCTACTAAAAATACAAAAGTTAACTGGGCTTGATGGTAGGTGCCTGTAATCTCAGCTACTCAGGAGGCTGAGGTAGGAGAATCACTTGAACCTGGGAGACGGAGGTTGCAGTGAGCCGAGATGGAGCCACTGCACTTCAACCTGGGCGATGGAGTATGACTGTGTCTCAAAAAAGAAGAACCCATTGAAGAAACAGGACTGCCTTAGAGGAGCTGCTTTAATAAATGGCTACTCAAGGCTGGACGCGGTGGCTCACGCCTATAATCCCAGCACTCTGGGAGGCCGAGGTGGGTGGATCATGAGATCAGGAGATCAAGACCATCCTGGCTAACACGGTGAAACCCCGTCTCTACTAAAAAAATACAAAAAATTAGCCGGGCGGCCGGGCGCGGTGGCTCACGCCTGTAATCCCAGCACTTTGGGAGGCCGAGGCGGGCGGATCACAAGGTCAGGAGATCGAGACCACGGTGAAACCCCGTCTCTACTAAAAATACAAAAAATTAGCCGGGCGCGGTTGTGGGCGCCTGTAGTCCCAGCTACTCGGGAGGCTGAGGCAGGAGAATGGCGTGAACCCGGGAGGCGGAGCTTGCAGTGAGCCGGGATCGCGCCACTGCACTCCAGCCTGGGCGACAGAGCGAGACTCCGTCTCAAAAAAAAAAAAAAAAAAAAATTAGGCGGGCAAAGTGGCAGGCTCCTGTAGTCCCAGCTACTCGGGAGGCTGAGGCAGGAGAATGGCATGAACCCAGGAGGCGGAGCTTGCAGTGAGCCGAGATCGTGCCACTGCACTCCAGCACTCCAGCCTGGGCGACAGAGCAAGACTCTATCTCAAAAAAATAAATAAATAAAATAAATAAGTAAATAAATAAATGGCTACTCAAATGTCTGCCCAAGTGGAATAGAGTAGATCGTCCTTTCCCATAGAGGAAAATGTCCCCTGCCCCTCATCTGGAACACCAGCCCTCACCACACTCCGCAAAGGTTGTGTCAGGGGATCTGTTTTCAGCTGAGTCACCACTGCGGAGCTAGTGGCTAGTGGTGGTGGTTTCACGGTGTTCCTGGGGCGGGATGCGGTACAGTCACCCCCAAGTTACCTTCCCCACGTAGGCCAGGCCCGGCTTGAACTGCTTCCTCGTGTCCTTGGAGTACCGGATGTCCACCAGCTGCCTCTGCACGGGGGTGGAGTCGTCGAACGCCACCTGCTGGCTCCCGTCCACACTGGTCACTGTGGCCCAGATGCTGACCCTGCCCCGGAAGTGCTCGGGACGTCCGCTGGGATCATGTCCCTCACGCAGATGTCGAAGTCCTGGGAGCCGAGGATCTGGAGGGAGGAAAAACGCAGCCCGTGCTCGCTCAGGGTTGGAGTGTCCCTGAGGGATGTCCCTGAAACACACACCTGAGGTGCAAGACTCTTCAGCTGCTTGGAGGGCCAGGGACACTTGGTGACATACCCAATCTATGCCACGGGACCGTGCAGAGGGTCCCTCACTGGATCTGGACAACATCCCAGGGAAGATGGATGTTGGCTCCATTGGGCAGAAGAGGAAAAAGGTGGCTTATGCCTTTAATCTCAGCACTTTGGGAGGCCGTGGCAGGCAGATCACTTGAGGTCAGGAGTTCGAGATCAGTCTGGCCAACATGGCAAAACCCCATCTCTACCAAAAATATAAAAAATTAGCTGGGTGTGGTGGCGGGCAGCTGTAATCCCAGCTACTCGGGAGGCTGAGGCATGAGAATCACTTGAACCCAGGAGGCAGAGGTTGAGGTGAGCCTGAATTGTGCCACTGCACTCCAGCCCGAGTTAAGAAAAAAAAAAAGAGGCCGGGCGCGGTGGCGCAAGCCTGTAATCCCAGCACTTTGGGAGGCCAAGACGGGCAGATCACGAGGTCAGGAGATCGAGACCATCCTGGCTAACACAGTGAAACCCCGTCTCTACTAAAAAATACAAAAAACGAGCGGGCGAGGTGGCGGGCGCCTGTAGTCCCAGCTACTGGGGAGGCTGAGGCAGGAGAATGGCATAAACCCAGGAGGCAGAGCTTGCAGTGAGCTGAGATCTAGCCACTGCACTCCAGCCTGGGAGACAGAGCGAGACTGTTTCAAAAAAAAAAAAAAAGAAAAGAAAAAAAAAGAGGAAAGAGATTCCCATGCTGACACAATCTCCCACAGCCCAGGCAACAGAGGGGGCATCTGAACCTGTTCAGCCCCACTCTGGGGCACCAGAACTCCCTCATTCAATTCCTATCTCAGGATCCCACCCTGGGACTTGGCAAATAATCCTTATTCAGAAAGAGCTGTGGAGTAAATCACTCCGGAAATGACAGAACTAAGACAAAGATCATGAGCTGGTAGCATCCCAGGAGAATGGCTGGGATTCTCCAAGGTGCCAGTGGCAGGAATGGGAGAGGTTGGGGGTTGTGGTGTCCAATCCATGGAAGAGAAGCCTCAGAGAGCAGAGAGATGGGCCAGGCGTGGTAGCGCACACCTGTAATCCCAGCACTTTGGGAGGCCGGCGGGGGTAGATCACTTAAGGTCAGGAGTTCAAGACCAACCTGGCCAACATGGTGAACCCCTGTCTTTACTAAAAACACAAAAATTGTCCCGACATGGTGGTGCGTGCCTGTAATCCCAGCTACTTGGGAGGCTAAGGCAGGAGAATTGCCTGAACCAGGAGGCAGAGGCTGCAGTGATCCAAGATCGCGCCATTGCACTCCAGCCTGGGAGACGCAGCGAGACTCCATCTCAATAAATAATTAAATTAAATTAAATTAAATTAAAGATATCTCAGATATAAGAGAGGGGAACCCATTGGAGCAGATACGTCCCAGGTGGGAAAGGGACTAAGAAGGAGCTTTGGGTGGGAGGTGAGGAAGAGCCAGTGCTGAAAGGGTTAATGTCAGGGCACCTACAGAGGGATGGGAATCTCCAGGAAGGAGGGTGTCTGTTGTACAGTTGCCCACTCACAATGTAACATTATGCTGAAAGACCAAAAAAGGTTACAAAACTTTAAACATGTGGGAATGTAAAACAGTGCAGCCACATTGACAATTTGGCATTTCCTCAAAAGGTTACACAGTGTTACCCTCTGACCTAGCAATTCTGCTCCTAGGAATGAACCCAAGAGAAACAAAAACGTAGGTCCACAGAAAAACTTGCACAGGGATGTTCATAGTAGCATGAGACATAATAGCCAAAAAGCAGAAACAACCCAAATGTCCACCACTGGATGAAGGGATAAACACATTGTGGTCCATCTGTACCAGGGAATATGATGCAGCCATAAAAAAGGAATGAAGTATTGATCCTGCTACAGTGTAGATGAACATCAAAAACATGATGCTGAGTGAGAGAAGCCAGACACAAAAGGACATATAGTGTATGATTCATTCACAGAAATGTCCAGAACTGGCAAATCCACAGAGACAGAAAACAGATTAGTAGTTACCAGGGACTGGAGGAGCGAAATGGGGATTCTCTACAAAAGGACATGAAGGATGTAGGGAAGGATGGTGGAACAATTCTAAAATTGGATAACAGCATTGGTTGCACAACTCTGCAACCATATGAAGATGATCAAACTGTACACTCTACATGGGTGAACTGTATGCAATGTGAATGATATCTCAATAAAATTGTTTACATTTTTATTTTATTTTAGAGATGGGAATCTCACTATGTTGCCCAGGCTGGCTTCGAACTCCTGAGCTCAAGAGATCTTCCTGCCTCTGCCTTCCAAATATTAAAAGCTGGGACTCCAAGGAATAAAATTAGTGTTTATTCATGTTTTTTTGTTTGTTTGTTTTTTGAGGTGTAGTCTCGCTCTGTCGCCCAGGCTGGAGTACAGTGACATAGTCTTGGCTCACTGCAACCTCTGCCTTCAGGGTTCAAGTGATTCTCCAGCCTCAGCCTCCTGAGTATCTAGGATTACAGGCATGCACAACCATGACCAGCTAATTTTTGTGTTTTTAGTAGAAACGCAGTTTCACCAAGTTGGCCAGGCTGGTCTCGAACTCATGGCCTCAAGTAATCCACCCGCCTCAGCCTCCCAAAGTGCTGAGATTACAGGCATGACCCACCACACCCGGCCAAATTGGTGGTTTTTTTTTTAACTTTACATACAGTAACCTGCGAGGAAACGCATCACAATATCGATAGTGGTCGTGTCCACCTATTGGAGAAGCAAGTTATCTTTATTTTCTTCCTTTTTATATTTTCTAAAGTCTCTATATTCAGCCTGCAGGAATTTTATCATCAGAAAAATCCCTGCCATATAACTGTTTCAGAAAGTAAAACAGCGGTGGCTCACACCTGTCATCCCAGCACTTTCAGGTGCAAAGGCCAGAGGATCGCTTGAGCCCAGGAGTTCAAGACCAGCCTGGGCAACATAGTGAGACCCTGTCTCTAATCAAAATTTTTTTAAAGGCAGTAAATAAAATAGTAATAATAAAGGAAAGTAAAATAAAATGCGTGATCTTGGAGGTGAACCTGGGGGTTGAGTCAGGGGGTAGAAGGGGTCCCTGTTTCTCACCTTGGTTGTTCTGAGGACGGGGCGTCCCACCTCGTGGCTGTAGTACCCCACACCATTAGCAGTCATGTTGATCGTTAAGGCACCAGCCACGGGTTTCCCAAAGGTATACCTGGAACAAAAAGATAAAGCATGCTCAATTTCACAGCCAAGATGGCAGGGAGGGCCCAGCCTCAGGAAGGCCAGGTTGGCACAGTGTGGCCACTAGTACAGTGACGGATGCAGCTCCCTTCCCACCCTGCATCCAGTCCTGACAGCCCCACCGCCCCCCCACTGCAGCCTGGAGTCGGGACAGAAGATGCCAAGGCCCTCCGATCCTCTGCACCAAGCCTCCAGGTGGACAGAAAAAGAGACCGAGGGTCAGAGAGGAACTCTGGAACTGAGAAGGCTAGGTTGGTGCTCCTCTGGAGCAGAGGAGTGCAGAGGCATGAGCGGCTGTGGGTCCCTGAGGGGCACCTGAGCCTAAGCGCCCTATTAAGCTCAACCTTGAACCAGGGACAGGGCTTCTCTGAGCCTCAGTTTCCTCACCTAGAGAATGGGAATCAAACTACCTTCGCAGGGGTGATGGTGAAACTTTAAATGTCTGTATGTCACTCCTGATGCAGAGGGAATGCCGGTGCATGGGGAACAGGAGCAAAATAAGAGAGTGCAGGCCGGGCATGGTGACTCATGCCTGTAATCCCAGCACTTTGGGAGGCCAAGGTGGGCAGATCACTTGAGGTCAGGAGTTCGAGACCAGCCTGGCCAACATGGTGAAACCCCGTCTCTACTAAAAATACAAAAATTAGCTGGGTGTGGTGCCACATGCTTGTGATCCCAGTTAGTCGGGAGGCTGAGACAGGAGAATCGATTGAGCCCGGGAGGCAGAGGTTGCAGTGAGCTGAGACTGTGCCACTGCACTCCAGCCTGGGCGACAGAGCAAGACTCGGTCTGAAAAAAAAACAACAAGGATCAACCCCTCTCGGGTCAGCACGCTGGCTGCGGGTGCTGTTTGTGCCAGGGAGGACTACAGAGGGCGGGGAGCAGCGTTGGGGGAGGGGGGAACATGGTGGGGTTGGGAGGGGACGCCCTGGGGAAGGGAGATGCTAGTGCAGGAGAGGCACGCCCTGGGGGTAGGGCATTCCTTGGGGAGGGGAGACCTTTGGGGAGGGAAGATTTTAGAGGGGAAGGGCAGGACTTGAGTAAGGAACACACAGTGGGAGAGAGGCATGCTTTGGAGAGACGGGTGTGCTCATAAGGGTGGGGACACTAGCATGCGAACGAAGACAGGCGGTGGGTACAGTGCAAGAGGTTCATGTGGCAGGGAGACACCAAGTACGAGGGAGGGAGGGAGCGGGGCACAGGGCACCCTTGGGGGAGCAGGGAGGCCATGGTAGAAGTGCTGCCTGTAGGAGGAGGGAGAAGCACAGTTGTCGGGGGAGAGGGAAGGGGAGGGCAAAGGAGGGGCCCAGGGGACAGGAAGATGCTCTAGGGAGAGGGGTACACTGCAGGGAGGGGGCGCCCCCAGGGGAGGGGCACGGGAAAGGGTGATGCTCTAGGGAGTGGGCACATCCTGGGGAGGGGGCACCCACAGGGGAGGAGCCCAGCGGGGAAGGAGATACTTTAGTGGGAGGGGGACACCCCGGGGAGGGGACGCCCACAGGGGAGGAGTCTGGGGGAGGAGGGAGATACTCTAAGGGGAGGGGCACATCCTAAGGAGGGAGCACCCACAGGGGAGAGTCACACGAAAGGGAGATGCTAGTGGGAGGGGCACATCCCAGGGAGGAGGGAACCAGGAAGGGAGGGGCACACCCATGTGGGAGGGAGGGAGGCAGCAGAGGAGGGGAACGACCTTGAGGGAGCGGCGTGATGGTTGGGGAAGGGGAAGGGCCCCGCGGTGCGCCCCAGGGGCCCCTCTTTCTCACCTGGCCCGCACAGTGCCTGTCTCACAGGCGTCCAGGTCTCGGATATACCGGGGCGGGTCAATCAGGAGCTCGAACTTGGGCAACACTGAAGAAAGAAAGCAGAGAGGAGGGGCTGGCTTCTGTCCCTAAGGTGGCCTCAGGGGCCCTGACACCCGTGCAAGGTGCAGGACACAGCACCCGGCCACCGCCAAGGTTGACACTATGCCCACCCACACCGGTCTGCTGAGCAGCCCTGGGGATTTTGTGGGCTGCATCTATTTCTCATCTTTGGGGGACCAGGACCCCATTTTCCTCAAGGGGCCTCCTCCTGTCACTTTTAGACCACATGCTTAGAGTGTAGTGGATTCCAGCCTATCCCAGGGTGGACACGAGGCCAGGAGGCTCCTCCCAGCCCCTGTGACCCTGGGAGCCCACAAGGGGCATCCCCGGGGTGACTGCAGCGGAGAACTGACTTCTCCAATTGCTTCTGGACTCAGCCTTGGGAGTGTCAAGCCATCTTGTCACCAGGGGCCGAGGTGACACACTGAAGCAGCCAGAAAACCAGAAAGAATCGGGTCCTGAGAGAACTCTTGTAGGAGCCTAAGAATCCTTTTTTTTTTTTTTTTTTTTGAGACAGAGTGTCGCTGTGAATCCCAGATTGGTGTGCAGTGGCACGATCTTGGCTCACTGCAGCCTCCTCCTCCTCCTGGTTCAAGCAATTCTCCCGCCTCAACCTCCCAAGTGGCTGGGATTACAGGCACAAGCCACCATGCCTGGCTAATTTTTGTATTTTTAGTAGAGATGGGGTTTCACCATGTTGGCCAGGCTGGTCTTGAACTCCTGACCTCTAGTGATCCACCTACCTCGGCCTCCCAAAATGCTGGGATTACAGACATTAGCTGCCGTGCCCGGCCATCTTTTTTTTCTGAGACAGGGTTTCACTTTGTCACCCAAACTGGAGTGCAGTGGTGCAATCACAGTTCACTGCAGCCTTGATCTCCCAGGCTGAAGCGATCCTCCCGCCTCAGCTTCCCCAGTAGCGGGGACTACAGGCAGGTGCCACCACGTCCAGATAATTGTTTTAAAGTTTTGTACAGACAGGGACTATGTTGTCCAGGCTGGTCTCAAACTCCTGGCCTCAAGCGATCCTCCCACCTCGGCCTCCCAAAGTGGTGGGATTACATGTGTGAGCCACCACCATGCCTGGCCTACAATACTTTTTCTCTATAAAAGGCAAGAGTGCACTTTGGGAGGCTGAGGCGGAAGGATTGCTTGAGGCCAGGAGTTCGAGACCAGCCTGGGCAATACGGCAAAACCCTGTCTCTACTAATACAAAAATTAATCGGGTGTGGTGGCTCACACTTGTAGTCCTAGCAACTCAGGAGGCTGAGGAGGGAGGATCACTTGAACTTGGGAAGTCAAGGCTTCAGTGAGCCAGGATCACACCACTGCACTGCACTCCAGCCTGGGTGATGGGCGTGAAACCCCGCCTCAAAAAAAAAAAAAAAAAAAGCAAGAGTCTAGGACCATCCCCTGAAACTATACCCAATCATCACAAGTCCTCAGTAAAAGAGGACTCCTGTCATCCTCCACTTCTTCACTGCCATTTTCACCAGTTCCCTCCCTCCTTCTCCTTCCTTCCTCCCTCTCCTTCCTCCCTCTCCTTCCTTTCCTTCCTTTCCTTCCTTTCCTTCCTTTCCTTCCCTTCCTTCCCTTCCTTCCCTTCCTTCCCTTCCTTCCCTTCCTTCCCTTCCTTCCCTTCCTTCCTTCCTTTCTCTTTCTCTCTTTCTCTCTTTCTCTCTTTCTTTCTTTTGAGACAGAGTCTCACTCTGTCACCCAGGCTGGAGCGAAGTGGTGCGATCTTGGCTCACTGCAACCTCTGCCTCCTGGGTTCAAGTGATTCTCCTGCCTCAGCCTCCCAAGTAGCTGGGATTACAGGCACATGCCACCACGCCCAGCTAATTTTTGTATTTTTAGTAACGACATGAGGTATCACCATGTTGGCCAGGCTGGTCTCGAACTCCTGACCTCAAGTGATCCGCCCACCTGGGCCTCCGAAAGGGCTGGGATTACAGGCGAGATACCCTGCACCCAGCCTTCTTCACCAGTTTCTAAGGTTTCTTCCAGATCTGAAATCCCAAGACCCTGAGATTCTCCAACTTACCATACTTCTGAACTTCAAAAGACTTGTTGTACGTGTGGCCTTGCATTTCAGCAAAAATGAACCATTCTCCCAACACAGGCTGGTCGGACAAGGGGAAGCTCAGGTTGGTGATGCCTGTGTGAAGAGAGACACCCCTTTGTGCCTGGGCAAGGGCATTTTCAGAGAGCCACGGGCATAGGGAGGTACAGGAAGAGGAAGCCAGGACCCTGCTCCTTCTCCTTCCCTGGGCAGCCCCCCAGGAGAACTGGAGACCACAGAGAAGCTGGTGGGGTCTGCGCAGAGCAGGACCCTGCAGGAGCCCGCCAGTGGAGCAGATCTGAGACTCTGGCGGGCTTCAAAGGGATGCAGGAAGAGACTGGACCTGGGGTTCCTGGGACAGCCTTGTAGCCACGACCAGGGGCAGGCAGTGAGCTGAACAAACGAGGGAAATGAGCCAGCCCAGCTCATCCACTCCATCCCCCCGAACCCGAGTCATTTCCAGCCTGGGCGCTACTGACACCTGGGGTCTCATGGCTCTCTGGGGTGGAGGCGTCCTGTGCACTATAAGATACTGAGTAGCATCCCTGGCCTCCACCAACCAGATGCCAGTAGTACCAATGCCCTCCACAATCTAACGACCTAAAAAAGTCCCCCAGACATTGCCAATATCGCCTCTAGGGGGCAAAGTCACCCCTGGGTGGAAATCCCATATATATACACACACACACACATATACACACACACACATATATATATAAAATACATATATAGGCCGGGCGCGGTGGCTCAAGCCTGTAATCCCAGCACTTTGGGAGGCCGAGACAGGCGGATCACGAGGTCAGGAGATCGAGACCATCCTGGCTAACACAATGAAACCCCGTCTCCACTAAAAAAAAATACAAAAAAATTAGCCGGGCGTGGTGGTCGCGCCTGTAGTCCCAGCTACTCGGGAGGCTGAGGCAGGAGAATGGCGGGAACCCGGGAGGCGGAGCTTGCAGTGAGCCGAGATCGCGCCACTGCACTCCAGCCTGGGCGACAGAGCGAGACTCCGCCTCAAAAAAAAAAAACAAAAACAAACAAACAAAAAACACATATATAATATATATTATATTATGTCATATATAATATATAACATAATATATATTACATTTATATTATATATTATATATAATATTATATATTATATATTATAATATATATTATATTATGTTATATATAACATATAACATATTATATATAACGTTATATATGTTATATATAACATATATAACGGTATGTTATATTATGCTATATAATATATATTATATTATGCTATATATAACATATAATACATATTATATGTATTATTTATATAATATATTATATATAATATTTTATGTATTATTTATATAATATATTATGTATATAATATATAATATATTATGTTATATATTATATTATATGTTATATATATATGGAGAGAGAGAGAGAGAGAGACAGAGTGAGAAACAGACAAGACAGACAGGGTCTCCTGCCAGGACAGGGTTTCTCAGCCCTGGCACTACTGACATTTAGGGCCAGATCATTCATTGTGGTGCGGGGGCGTCCTGCGCACTGAGGGATGCTGAGCATCATCCCTGGCCTCCACTCACCAAACACCCATTGCACCCCTTGTCTTCCACAAAAGTCCTGACAAGCCAAAATGTCCCCAGATATTGTCGATGTCCCCTGGGGGCAGAATCTCCCGCCCGACTCCCCACCCCTCTGTGAGAACCACCCCTAACTGAACTAGAGCACGCACACACTTTAGCACAGAGTACTCTCTCCCCCAAACATCCCCCCGGAAACACCATCAGCCACTGACATGGGAGCTGGCATTTGCTTTGCACCTGTGCCTCTGAGCCCCGTCCGCAGCTCTGTTTTCACTGGGAGCCGTGGAGGAGTTGGAAAGGGCACACCGACTCTAGGCATTGCCAGGGGATCTTCCACTCCTGAGTGTGACACGCTCCACCTGTCCCCAGTGATCATATGGGGAGGGCCATACAGGGAGGGGACAGGAAGAGTGGTTCCCCTGGGTCTCACAACAGAACCCAAAACCCACAGCAGTGCCCACGGCTTCTCCCAATCACATTGGAGCCAGAAGATGTGACGGCTAAAACGGCTTTTTCCTCCGCATATTCAGACAAAGTGGGCCTTTGATGGTTAGAGGACATTCAGGGATGTGTGTCCTGAGCACGTGTTTTGTAAGGGGTCTGTGGCCAACTTTGCCAAATGCTCCCTGAGAGAGGGGCACTGTCACCCTGGTTGAGAATCATGGGTCTACACACATCCCAAAGATTTTTTTTTTATTTTTTTATTTCTTTGAGACAGAGTCTTGCTCTTTTGCCCAGGCTGGAGTGCAGTGGCATGATCTCAGCTCGTGCCACCTCCATGTCCCGGGTTCAAGCGATTCTTGTGCCTCAGCCTCCTGAATAGCTGGGACTACAGGCACCTGCCACCACACTCGGCTAATTTTGTATTTTTAGTAGAGACGGGGTTTCCCCATGTTGGCCACGCTGGTCTTGAACTCCTGACCTCAGGTGATCCACTCACCTCAGCCTCCCAAATTGCTGGGATTACAGGTGTGAGCCACCAAGCTAGGCCCCAAATGGTTTTTTTAAACAGGAGGTTGACCTCTCCCCCAACTCTGTGCTCTTAAGATCAAGTCAGCCTAGGCAACATCTTGAGACCCCGTCTCTACCAAAAATTTTAAAAATTAACTGGGCTTGATGGCATGTGCCTGTGGTCCCAGCTACTCAAGAGGCTGAGGTGGGAGGATCACTTGAACCCAAGAGGTAGAGGCTGCAGTGAGCTATGATCACGCCACTGCACTCCAGCCTAGGTGACAACATGAGACAGAAATTGCCTCTTTTAAAAAAAAAAAAAAAAAAGTTTTTAAAAAAAAGATCAAGTCCATTCTCTTCCCTAGTTCATGCCAGCGTCACCCCTGCTCTCAGCGCTCAACATCTCTGTCCTGTCCACTGTCTCCAACCTCACTCCCCTAGACATCCACAGCCCTTCCCATACATCGGGTCCCTGACTGGGACATGCTTCCTGGCCCCCTTGCTTTGCCTGGCCGTCCCCCGTTCCTTCTTTGTTGCTGAAAAGGATCCTCCTCCAGGCAGCCTTCCAGGATTGTCTCTGCCACCCCAGGATGGGATACAGCCCTGTTTGCCCTCTCTGAGTTTTGAACTTCTCCTTCCTAGCACTCATCACAACTGACATCATCCAGGCTGTTTAGTTCGTGTTTGCTCCCCGCATTGGGCTGAAAGCTCACCCCATGGCAGTATCTATGTGGTACCCAACAAATATCTGCGATACAGAGAGAGCAATTGAGCGAACAAGAGGGAGTAAAGAAGGCAGACAGGGAAGATGGAACAGAAGAAAAGAGGCTGAGGCCAGGCACAGTGGCTCACGCCTGTAATCCCAGCACTTTGGGAGGCCAAGGTGGGCAGATCACCTGAAATTGGGAGTCCAAGACCAACCTGGCCAACATGGTGAAACCCTGTGTCTACTAAAAATACAAAAATTAGCCAGGCCTAGTGGCACGTGCCTGTAATCCCAGCTACTTGGGAGGCCGAGGCAAGAGAATGGCTTGAACCCGGGAGGCAGAGATTGCAGTGAGCCGAGATCGCGCCACTGCACTCCAGCCTGGGTGACAGAGAGAGACTCTGTCTCAAAAAATAAAAAAACAAGGTGAGAGCAGGTGCTCCAGTATTCCAGAAAGGTCTTGAGTTCTGAGCCGGAGCCCTGCCTGAGTCCTGGGCACAGAGAAACATGGGCAGAGGGTCCAAATCCACAGGGAAGGTGCTGTGGGCCAGGCTGAGGCTCCTAGATCCAAACCCATGGCATCATCACCTCCCAGGTGGGTACCTGCCCTCCACTCCTCCTTGGTCCTCTCCAGCTGGAGCAGCAGTGGGGGTACGTTAGGGAGGGGGCCCCGGACAGAGCATATTCTGTTTTCCCGGAAGGTTTATCACATCTGCAGCCCTCAAGCTGCAGAGGAAGAAACTTACCGCAGCAGAACGGCTTCAAGTGTCTCCACTCTATCATCCGAGAGCCTCGGGGGTCCTGTTGGTGGTGGAGAGGGGCAGACACATGGAGTGAACTCAGGCTAGCCCAGCGTGTGCCCAGTGTAAGGATTTTCCCAGTCCTCTCTCTTGGGCATGTCAACCATGCAGCGAAGGTTCCAATATTAATCATTAACCCCAGGGCAAAAAAGTAAAAAGCTCTGGATAGAGAAGGATTTGAAAAGCAGAAGGGGACGGGCTGGGCCTGCTTCCTCATTTAGGGAGCTGTGTACAAACAAACCTACAAATGGACGTGGCTGGGGGTGGTGGCTCACACCTGTAATCCCAGCACTTTGGGAGGCCGAGGCGGGTGGATCTCCTGAGGTCAGGAGTTTGAGATCAGCCGGGCCAACATGGTGAAACCCCCATTTCTACCAAAAAAGACACACACAAAAAAAATTAGCTGGGCATGGTGCCACATGCCTATAGTCCCAGCTACTTGGGAGGCTGAGGCAGGAGAATCGCTTGAACCCAGGAGGCAGAGGTTGCAGTGAGCCAAGATCGGCACCACTGCAATCCAGCCTGGGTAACAGAGCAAGACTCCATCTCAAAAAAAAAAAGGAAACGGACGGACACACACTCAGCCCATCCCAGGGTGGACCCAGGGACCAGGATAGAAGATGCTGGGTCCCAGCCTTGTAAGGCACAGTGGCTCAACCCAGAAGGCAGACAGTGAGCGAAGACACACCAGATCTTGCAGAAGATGGGCTACCCGGGCCCCAAGTCCAAGCCGAGGAGGGACAGAGGCCACTCACCTGGATGTAGGCTTCCAGCTGTAATGAAGACACAGATGCAGTGAGCAAATCTTCCAGCAAACCCCAAACCCTTCCAACATGCTCACGCATCATTGATGCATGGCCTCAGTCCCCGGGACAAGCACTCACTGTTATGGGTTAAACAGTGTCCCCCTAAATTACATCCGTTAAATCCTAATCCCAAGTAGGGTCTTTAGAAAAGGACCCTCAAAAGGGGAACCCAGGCAGGCACTGCTTGAACCACTGGACCCCATTAATGTCCCCAGCAACACAACAAACCCATGCCGGGTGCCTCCCGATACAAGGCACCAGGGAAGACAAGGCACCAGGGAGGATCCAGTATCGCTTCTGTGGATCCTGCCCGAGATTCGCAACTTGAACTTGGTCACAAGAAACCAGAAGACCATCCTACTAAGGGACGTTCTGCAAAACAACTGCCTGGACTTGCCAAAAATGTCAATGTCATGAAAGACACAGAAAGGCAGTGAGGAACTAATTCAAATTAAAGGAGACCAAGAGACACGATGAACAAATGACCCAGGATCAGATCCTGGACCAGCAAAGAAACATGCTACGAAGGTTACTATTGGAACAACATGGATTTTATATTAGATATTATTATTGTGTCAATGTCAAAATTATTTTCCTCTTTTTTTTTTTTTGGTATTTTGTGTTTTTTTTAGAGACAGAGTTGTGCTTTGCTGCCTGGGCTGGAGTTCAAGTGGTACAATCACAGTTCATTGCAGCCTCAAACTCCTGGGCTCAAGAGATCCTCCTGACTCAGCCTCCCAAGCAGCTGGGACTACTGGCGCATGCCACCATGCTCGGCTAATTTGTATTATTTTAATTTTTTGCCAAGACATTTTTGCTATGTTGCCCAGAATGGTCGCGGACTACTGGCCACAAGCGATCTTCCCGCCTCAGCCTCCCAAAGTGCTGGGATTACAGATGTGAGACACTGTGCCTAGCCTCAAAATTTTTAAATGTGATGATCCTCCTTGAGTTGTATAAGAGAACGATCCTGCTCTTAAAGGATACAGGCCAAGTGTTCAGGGCCAGAAAGGCACAATATCTGTAAGTTATTCTCAAATGATTTATCATTAAAATAATTTTGTAAGTATATATACATATACACACAGAGAGGAGGGCTAGACAGAAAGCGCATAAATGTGGCCAGGCCTGGTGGCTAACGCCTGTAATTCCAGCACTTTAGGAGGCCAAGGCGGGTGGATCACCTGAGGTCAGGAGTTTGAAACCAGCCTGGCCAACATGGTGAAACCCCATCTATACTAAAAATACAAAAATCAGCTGGGCATGGTGGCACACGCCTGTAATCCCAGCTACTCAGGAGGCTGAGGCAGGAGAATTCCTTGCACCCAGTAGGCAGAGGTTGCAGTGAGCCAAGATCACTCCACTACACTCCAACTTTGGCAAGAGAGCGAGACTCTATCTCAAAAAAAAAAGAAAAAAAAAAATTAGCCAGGCGTGGTGGTGGGTGCCTATAATCTGGGTTACTCGGGAGGCTGAGGTAAGAGAATCACCTGAACCCAGGAGGCAGAGGTTGTAGTGAGCCAAGATCGCGCCACTGCACTGCAGCCTGGGCAATAAAGCAAGAGACTCGGTCTTGGAAAAAAAACAAATTTTTTTAAGCCACAGTGCAGGGCTACCTAAAGCCCTCAAAGGCATTCCTTGTAGAGGAGCAGTGGGCCAGGCACGCCCACCAGCCTTCCTCTGTCACCAAGAACTTCCTGGGGTTCTCCAGGGGGCATGGAACTGTGAAAGAAAATAGGAAAGAGAAGGTCTGGAGAGAAAGACCAGTTTCCAATGGTGGCCCTGGCTAGGGGGTCCCAAGTGGATATGTTCCGGGCCCGCGGTTTTAGAAGCTGATCTCACCTTCTCGTTGACAGGCCTCAGATCTGGGGAGACGGTGAAGATGCTTATGAGCACTAGAAGAAAGAAGACAGGCATGTGACACCTCCAGACCACGGCCGGCCCTCCCTGCATCCGTGCCAGCCACCCACCTCGGTGCTGGGGTCTGTATACAGGCTTGTCTGTCTGGATGAACACGGAGGCACCCCGGCCATCCACGGTCACCGAGGTCTGGTTGTGAAAGAGGGGATCCTCCTCCGCCTGCCGGCCGCGGCCCCACACTTTCAGAAGCGCCTGGCCCCGGAGGCCCGTGGGCACCTACAGGCAGAGGAAGGAGCTTTGGGATGAGAATGTCACCCTGGAATGGGCTGAGATACTGGGAAAGGAGTTTGGAGTCTAGAATGGAGAACTCACCCCAGGAGTGACTGTCACCCAGGGGACACTCGGCAGTTTCTGGAGATGTTTTGGGGTGTCATAGCTTTGGGGGTGGGGATTGCTACGGTCATTTGAGAGGGGAATAGAGAGGCTGCTCAACATCTTACAAAGCGCAGGACACCCCTGCCCTCGGCAAACTGCCCCAAACATCTTTTTTTTTTTTTTTTTTTTTTTGAGACAAGGTCTCACTCTGTCGCCCAGGCTGGAGTGTAGTGGCGCTATCTCAGCTCATTGCAACCTCTGCCTCCCAGGCTAAGTGTTTCTCCCACATTGGCCTCTTGAGTAGCTGGGATTACAGGTGTGCGTCACCATGCCTGGCTAATTTTTGTATTTTTTGTAGAGGCAAGTGTTGGCCAGACTGGTCTTGAACTCCTGGGCTCAAGCGCTCGCCCCGCCTTGGCCTCCCAAAGTGCTGGGATTATAGGCGTGAGCCACTGCACCCGATCATATCTTTTTTTTTTTTTTTTTTTTTTTTTTGGAGATAGGGTTTATCTCTGTCGCCTAGGCTGGAGTGCAGTGGTACAGTTACGGCTCACTGCAGCCTTGGCCTCCTGGGCGCAAGCAATCCTCCCATCTCAGCCTCCTGAAGAGCTGGGACTACAGGCATGCACCACCAGGCCAGGCTTATTTTGTTTATTTTTTGTAGAAACAAGGTCTCGGGGGCCGGGCGCGGTGGCTCAAGCCTGTAATCCCAGCACTTTGGGAGGCCGAGACGGGCGGATCACGAGGTCAGGAGATCGAGACCATCCTGGCTAACACGGTGAAACCCCGTCTCTACTAAAAAATACAAAAAAACTAGCCGGGCGAAGTGGCGGGCGCCTGTGGTCCCAGCTACTCGGGAGGCTGAGGCAGGAGAATGGCGTAAACCCGGGAGGTGGAGCTTGCAGTGAGCTGAGATCCGGCCACTGCACTCCAGCCTGGGCGACAGAGCCAGACTCAGTCTCAAAAAAAAAAAAAATAAAAAAATAAAAAAGAAACAAGGTCTCACTCTGTTGCCCAGGCTGGTCTCGAACTCCTGGGCTCAAGCGATCCTCCCACTTCAGCCTCAGATTCCAGGCATGAACCACGGTGCCAAGCCTGCCCCAGCTATCAGCCATGCTGAGGCCGAGAAACGCTGGTCTAGTTATGGAGCCTTCTCTTCTGACTCAACAGAGTTGCCAAGCTGTTTCCGCTCATCACCACTGCAGAGTTAGAACTGTCTCCCCTCTTGCCAAGTGAGTTCACAGCCTGTGAGCAGTGGAAGGAGACCTTGATCCCTTGATATATATATATATGTACATGTCCAGATATATCTATCATATGTATGTGTCCGTGTTTGCCTCACTCTAAAATCACAGCACAGGCCGGGCGCAATGGCTCACACCTGTAATCCCAGCAATTTGGGAGATTGGAGTGGGCGGATCACCTGAGGTCAGGAGTTCAAGACCAGCCTGCCCAACACAGTGAAACCCCATCACTACTAAATATACAAAAATTAGCCAGGCCTGGTGACATGTACCTATAATCCCATCTACTTGGGAGGCTGAGGCAGCGGAATAGCTTGAACTCAGGAGGCAGAGGTTGCAATGAGCTGAGATCTCACCATTGCACTCCAGCCTGGGCAACAAGAGTGAAACTCCATCTCCAAAAAAAAATCAACAAATAATACAAATAAAATCACAGCACAAGCCAGGCATGATGGCTTACACCTGTAATCCCAGCACTTCGGGAGGCCGAGGCGGGCGGATGGCTTGAGGCCAGAAGTTCAAGACCAGCCCAGCCAACATGGTGAAACCCCGTCTCTGTAAAAAATTTTTAAAAAATTAGCCAGGCATGTGGCAGGCGCCTGTAGTTCCAGCTACTCTGGAGGCTGAGGCACACAAATCGCTTGAACCTGGGAGGCAGAGGTTGCAGTGAGCTGAGATCACACCGCTGAACTCCAGCCTGGGTGACAGAGCGAGACTTTGCCTCAAAAAATAAAATAAAATACAATGAAATAAAATAAAATCATAAAATAAAATAAAAATCACAACACATATACAGTGCATGACTCCATTGATCTGAATTGTCCAGAAAAGGCAATCCACAGAGACAGGAATCAGATTGGTGGGTGCCAGGGGCTAGGAGAAGGGAGTGGGGAGTGACTGCTGATGGGGACACGGTCTCCTCTGTGGGGGATGAAAATCTTCTGGAACTAGATGGGCAGGGGAGTTGCACAACCCTGTGAATGTACTAAATGCCACTGAATTACACGTTTTAGAATGGTTAGATGGCTTTTTTGTTGGTTTAGTTTGTTTTTTTGCCACACAGATGGGACCGAAAAAAAAAACACTTCAGTCTTCAGAATGGAGCTTACACTACACAATTCCTTCCTTCCTTCCTTCCTTCCTTCCTTCCTTCTTTCCTTCCTTCCTTCCCTACACATTCCCTCCCTCCCTCCCTTCCTTCCTTCACTATGCATTCCCTCCCTTCCTCCCTTCCTTCATTACACATTCCCTCCCTCCCTCCCTCCCTTCCTTCTGTCCTTCCTTCCTTCCTTCCATCCTTCCTACACTACACATTCCTTCCCTCCCTCTCTTCCTTCCTTCTTTCCTCCTTTCTTTCTCTTTCTTTTGTTTTTAGAGACAATATCTTGCTCTGTCACCACACTGGAGTCCAGCGATGCGATCAGAGCTCACTACAGCTTCAGACTCCTGGGTTCAAGCGATCCTCCTGCCTCAGCCTACTGAGAAGCCAGGACTGAAGGCGGGCACCACCATGCCCAGCTAATTTATTTTATTTTTTGGTAGAGATGGGGTCTCGCTGTGTGCCCAGGCTAGGCTCAAACTCCTGGGCTCACGTGATCCTCCTGACTCGGCCTCCCAAAGTGCTGGGATTACAGGTGTGAGCCATCGCACTTAGCCGTCCTCTTATCTTTTTTAAGCAGATGGGCAGAACGCCCTGGCATGTGAGTCATGCACTATAAAAGCTCCTTTCGGCCAGGCGCGGTGGCTCAAGCCTGTAATCCCAGCACTTTGGGAGGCCGAGACGGGCGGATCACGAGGTCAGGAGATCGAGACCATCCTGGCTAACACGGTGAAACCCCGTCTCTACTAAAAAAATACAAAAAACTAGCCGGGCGAGGTGGCAGGCGCCTGTAGTCCCAGCTACACAGGAGGCTGAGGCAGGAGAATGGCGTAAACCCGGGAGGCGGAGCTTGCAGTGAGCTGAGATCCGGCCACTGCGCTCCAGCCCCGGCGACAGAGCGAGACTCCGTCTCAAAAAAAAAAAAAAAAAAAAAAAAAAGCTCCTTTCATGCTTAAAACAAACAAAAGTAATGCCTCTGGTATTAGTCCATTTTCACAATGGTGATAAAGACATACCCGAGACTGGGTAATTTATATAGAAAAAGAGGTTTAATGGACTCACAGTTTCACGTGGCTGGGGAGGTCTCACAATCATGGTGGGAGGTGAAAGGCACGTTTTACATAGTGGCAGGCAAGAGAGAATGAGAGCCAAGAAAAAAAGGATTTTCCCTTATAAAACCATCAGATCTTGTGAGACTTATTCACTACCATGAGAACAGTAGGGGGACATCGCCCCCAAGATTCAATTATCTCCTCTGGGTCCCTCCCACAACCTGTGGAAATTATGGGAGCTACAATTCAAGATGAAATTTAGGTGGGGACACAGCCAAACCATATTACCTCCCTCTATGTGACCGGCATTGATGATAGCTACCCTCTTGGCCATCCCTGGGCACCCAGCAGGTGGGCATTACCTCCCAGCAGATCACCTGGGGAGCTATGTGCACCCCTGTTCCTAAAACCACCCAAATGGCTGGGCACAGTGGCTCACGCCTGTCATCCCAGCACTTTGGGAGGCTGAGACAGGCAGATCACCTGAAGTCAGGAGTTTGAGACCAGCCTGGCCAACACGGCGAAGCCCCGTCTCTACTGAAAATACAAAAATTAGCTAGGTGTGGTGGCGGGTGCCTGTAATCCCACACCTCAGAGAGGCTGAGGCAGCAGAATTGCTTGAACCCAGGAGGTGGAGGTTGCAGTGAGCCGAGATGGTGCAGCTGCACTCCAGCCTAGGTGACAGAGCAAGACTCCATCTCAAAAAATAAAAAATAAAAAATAATTTAAAAATAAAACCATCCAACTGTGGCGTGTTCCTCTTCTGAGGACCCCTATGTCAGCATCTACTCGCGTGGTCCCTCAAGGGGTGGATGGACCCTAGTGACCATCACGGGGAACAATCTACTGGATTATCTGACTGATCGTCACAGTTCTGCACTGTCATGACCATTGCGTGGGTGAGGTCGGGGTGCACTAGGACTCCTGCTCTCTGCAGCCACACAAGGTCTGTCTCAGGCCTCTCTCCAGCCACCCACCTCCTGTCTGCTCTCAGAGGGACCTCTTCTACCCGCCACCCGCAGGATCGGCCTTCTGGACCTGTGAGGTCTTTTCTGATGGCAGTTTCCCTGTCAAGACCTACCAGAGCAATAAATCTCACCTGCTACTCCAATCCCAAAATCCTCACCTGGCCCTGTTTCTGGAAATATCTCAGCATTGGCCAAAGGTTGAAGAGGGACGAAAGGTGCCGGCCACCCAGGAGCAGGGCGAGGATGAGCAGGAGGGAAATACTGGAGGGGCTGAGGACCGTACGCTGGAGGGACAGGAAGGGTGGGGGACAAGAGGCTGTGCTGAGCTCATAAGGGGGGTCGACCCCAACCGGCAGCCCCTAGAGCTTCACCCCTTCCCCGGGAGCAGATTGCGCCCCACAGGGACAGAAGGGAAGAAGGACTTCCAGCCTTCTTTCTGTTTTTAGAGACAGGGTCTTGCTCTGTTGCCCAGACTAGAGTGCTGTGGTGCGATCACGACTCACCGCAGCCTCCATCTCCTGGACTCAAGCAATCTTCCTACCTCGGCCTACTGAGTAGCTGGGACTACAGGCGCAGGCCACCATGCCCGGCTAACTTTTTATTTTTATTTTTGTAGAGACAGGGGACAGGCTCTCAACTATGTTCCCCAAGCTGGTCTCCAACTCCTGGCCTCAAGCGATCCTCCAGTTTTGGCCTCCCAAGTAGCTAGGATTACAGGCATGAGTCACTGTGTGTGGCCAAATGCTAAGGATCTTAAGCATCTTTCTTGGGAATTGCAAGTCTAGTCTTAAGAGCCCTTGGCCCCTCTCCCAGAATTATACAACCCTTTGTTAGTCTCTCTTACAAATTCCCAGCATCTGCACTGTGAAGAGTGTCTTCTAACGTGTGATGGCCAGGGACAGCACGTCATCTTAACACCTGCTCCAGGGAGCATGGCTTCCTGACTCATAAGAAAGCAGATCTAGGCTGGGTGCGGTGGCTCACACCTGTAATCCCAGCACTTTGGGAGGCTGAGGCAGGCGGATCACTTGAGGTCAGAAGTTTGAGACCAGTGTAGCCAATATGGCGAAACCCCATCTCTACTGAAAATACAAAAATTAGCTGAGCATGGTGCGGAGGGCGTCTGTAGTCCCAGCTACTCAGGAGGCTGAGGCAAGAAAATCACTTGTACCCGGGAGGCAGATGTTGCAGTGAGCTGAGATCATACCACTGCACTCCAGCCTGGGCAAGAGAGCGAGACTCTGTCTCCAAAAAGAGAGAGAGAGAAATCAAACCACATGAAGCCAGGAAAAGAGAGAGAGAGAAAGAGAGAGAGAGAGAAAAAGAGAGAGAGAGGAGGAGGAGGAGAAGGAGAAGGAGAAGGAGGAGAAGGAGAAGGAGAAGAAGAAGAAGAAGAGGAGGAGGAAGAAGGAGAAGGAGAAGGAGGAGAAGGAAAAGAAGAAGAAGAAGAAGAAGAAGAAGAAGAAGAAGAAGAAGAAGAAGAAGAAGAAGAAGAAGAAGAAGAAGAAGAAGAGGAGGAGGAGGAGGAGTAGGAGGAGGAGGAGGAGGAGGAGGAGGAGGAGGAGGAAGAAAGGGAGGAAGGAAGGAAAGGAGGGAGGGAAATCTCATGACAGGAAGCCAGGAAAGGGAGCTCTAGGGACTTCTTTTTTTCTCTTTTTTCCCTATGCTTCTGTAGGTATTGAAGCCCTAGGGCAGGGACCCTCAACCCCTGGGCCACAGACTGGTACCAGTCTGTGGCCTGTTAGGAACAGGGCTACAGAGCAGGAGGTGAGCAGTGGGTGAGCAAATGAACCTCCATCTGTATTTACAGCCACTCCCCATCGCTCACATGACTGCCTAAGCTCCGCCTCCCATCAGCTCAGCGGCGACATTAGATTCTCATAGGAGTGTGAACCCTATTGTGAACTGTGCACGGGAGAGGTCTAGGTTGCGTGCTCTTTATGACAATCTAATGCCTGACCATCTGTTACTGTCTCCCATCACCCTCAGATGGGACCATCTAGTTGAAGGAAAACAAGCTCAGGGCTTGCACTGATTCTTCCATTATGGTGAGTTATATCATTATTTCGTTACATATTACAACGTAATAATAGAAATTTAAGCACACAATAAATGGAATGCACGTGAATCATCCTGAAGCCATTTCTTCTGCTCCCTGGTCCGTGGAAAAACTGTCTTCCATGAAACTGGTCCCTGGTGCCAAAAAGGTTAGGGACTGCTGCTCTAGGGTTTTGGTTCAGGGGTTCCTGAATGTGGACTTCTGGGGCCACATCCTTCTTTGCCGTAGGGGATCCTGTGCATTGTAAGATGTTGAGCTGCAGCCATGGCCTCCACCCACCAGATGCCAGTAGCACCTGGCACCGCCCAGCCCCCACACCAGCTGTGACAACCAAAAACGTCTCCAGACTTTATGAAATGTCCCCTGTAGGGCAAAAGCACCCCTGAGTGAGAACTGCTGCCTTAGAGAAAGGGTTCTATCATCAAACATAAGGGAGAGGCCAGGTGCTGTGGTTCACTCCTGTAATCCCAACACTTTGGGAGGCTGAGGTGGGCAGATTACCTGAGGTCAGGAGTTCGAGACCAGCCTGGCCAACATGATGAAACCCCATCTCTATTAAAAATACAAAAATTAGCCGGGTGTGGTGGTGCACACCTGTAATCCCAGCTACTGGGGAGGCTGAGGCAGGAGCATCACTTGAACCTGGGAAGTGGAGGTTGCAGTGAGCCAAGATTGCACCACTGCACTCCAGCCTGGGAGAAAAAGCAAGACTGCTTCAAAAAAAAAAAAAAAAAAAAAAAAAGTAAGGCAGGAAGACCACTGCTCCGCAGCAATTAGGCACTAGTGGTATACCTCATACAAAAGGAACCACCTCAGTCTCCATTCTGATCAACGGAGATGGGCGCATTACAATTTAAAATAATTCTCAATTTAGCCCATTCATTTGTAGACTCCTGTGAGCATGTGGTAAAAGTTAAGGAATAGCTAACCCCTCAATGCCTGCAATTTCAGGGCTTACATAATCTCTGAAATCCAAGGACTCCAGTTTGAAAACCCATGTCATAGAATTATTTACATAGTTTATTACATATAATAATTTAAAAATAACAATATTCAATGTCTGAGAGGCAGTGGAGAAATTTGATCCCTAATGCACTGCAGGTGGTTCCATGAACAGGTACTGCCGTGTATTCTAGGACGCAGCAAGACCCAGTGAGAGGCTTGGGTCCTGCTGGTAATTCTTCTATCTGGGTGCTTAGCCTAAAGAAGGCATCCAGAATGCCAATACAGCTTTACATACAAACATTCTGGCGACTTACAGATTACGGTATCAAAACACTAAAAACAGCTCAGGCAGGGTGGCTCATGCCTGTAATCCCAGCGCTTTGGGAGGCCAAGGTGTGTGGATCACTTGACGTCAGGAGTTTCAGCCCAGTCTGGCCAACATGGTAAAACCCCATCTCTACTAAAAAAAAAAAAAAAGGAAAAAGAAAAAGAAAAAAAAAAGCCAGTCGTGATGATGCGTGCCTGAGGTCCCAGCTACTCGGGAGGCGGAGGCATGAGAATCGCTTGAACCCAGGGGACAGAGGTTGCAGTGAGCTGAGATTGTACCATTGGACTCCAGCCTGGGTGACAGAGAGAGACCTCATCTCAAAAAAAAAAAAAACACTGAAACAATCTAAAAAAAAAAATCTAACCTGTGCAAACTGGGGGCTTAGCAAATTGATATCTAAGAGGGGTGCAATAGGATGTTGTTTACAATAAGATGGAAATTCCAATTACAGAGACTTGGAAACATAGAAGTTGTTTACAACAATGTGATAAGAGGGAATAGGAAACACCATGGTGTTTGTTTTGTCTTGTGTTTTTTGCGATGGAGTTTCGCTCTGTCACCCAGGCTGGAGTGAAGCGGTATGATCTTGGCTCACCGCAACCTCCATCCCCTGGGTTGAGGCAATTCTCCTGCCTCAGCTCCCCGAGAGTAGCTGGGATTACAGGAGTGCGTCACCACACTCAGCTAACTTTTGTATTTTTAGTAGAGATGGGGTTTCGCCATGTTGGCCAGGCTGGTCTCGAACTCCTGACCTCAGGAGATCCACCCGTCTCAGCCTCCCAGAGTGCTAGGGTTACAGGCATGTGCCACTGAGCCCGGCCAATGATGTGTGTCCTTTAAATGAAACCAGGAAAAGAAAAATGAAACTGGAAAAGGAAATGTATGTGCATGAACAAGAATGTGTGGAAAACATGAAAAAGTGAAAAGTATAAAAACTGGATTATCGGTGGATTTCTCCTTTTCTAAATTTCGTTATTCTTTTTTTTTTTTTTTTTTTTAAACAGGGTCTCACTCTGTTGCCCAGGCTGGAGTGCAGTGGTGCGATCAAAGCTCACTGCAGCGTCAACCTCCCAGTCTCAAGCAATCCTCCCACCCCAGCCTCCCAAGTGGTTGGGACAACAGGCGTGAACCACCATGCCTGGCTAATGGCTAATTTTTGTATTTTTTTGTAGAGACAGGATTTTACCATGTTTTCCGGGCTGGCCTTGAACTCCTGGGCTCAAGAGATCCACCCACCTCAGCCTCCCAAAGAGCTGGGATTACAGGTGTGAGCATGGCACTAACCTCATTATTCATTTTTTACATCTTCTTTTTAAAAATGATTTTTCTCACAACACATGCAATTTCTTTTGTTCCATTCCAATTCAATTCTTTGTTTCCAAGGTCAGGTTTATGCTTTTAAAAATTAACAGCTTACCTTGAGTTTGATTGTCCCTTTATCTAAAAATGAAAATAAAATGAAAAAAGTTAAATCGAGAGCTGTGTTGCCCCGCCTCCCTGAGCTGCAGTCTCACAAACCACAAACTTTCTGAACCCAAAGGGGTTTCATGTGGACAAACACACCCTGGGTCATGCTGGCCTGGCCTGGGCCAGGCTGGGCCTCTGGCAGAAGCCAGAGGTTTCCTCCAAGCTGGCACAAGCTGAAGGCCAGAGGGGATGGACAAAGCTGAGCTATTCAAGGGAAAGCTGGCCTGCCTAAGTACTTGATTTACTTCACCCCTGGCTCCTGCCCAAAGTAAGCTGTGAGGGGAGTAATGGGAAAACACCAGGGGAGAGGAACAAGGAGAAGGGTGGAGAGAAAGAAGAGGGGACCGAGGTCCCTAGTGGACCTGCCTGTTCTCCCATCACCTCACTCTGCTACCCACATGGAATCATTTGTGGTACTGTACTAGGTTTCTGGCCTCCAGGACTCAATTAGGTATCTATTATTTTTGCCTGCCAGCAACAATCATCCCATTTCCTGCTAACAGATCTTCAATTCCCTTAGACAAGCTAACTGCCCAGCACACAAGCCACGAGTCTCCTAAGCTCTCCATCCACCTTCCTGGGGCTCTAAGCCAATCTGCATAGGCCTTCCCCCTGGTCACAGTGATTGGTTCAGGGTTGAGCACATGATCCAAAATGAACCAATCAGCACAGGTCATCACCTCTGGTCACAGTGATTGGCTCAGGGTTGAGCATATGACCCAAGATAGGCCAATCAGAGGGAATCCTGGGACTTTATCCAGCCATCTTGGGAAACTGGTGCTTCCCCTGATCTTAAGGGGAGACCTGGCTGCATCAGGAGATAGGGCAAGAAGCCAGGCAGAAATACCGGTGGACTTTCTTTCTAGTTATGAGAGACCATAAACTGTTGCAGAAGCCAACTGGAGTTGGGTTTCAGTTAGCTAGCCACCCAAGTCAGGAGTACCTGATTCTTCTAGGACTAGAAGGACTTCTAGAAGGTTCTAGAAGCTTCCACATTTCACCTTCTCTGACCACATCTCCCCAGGAGACAAGTGCTGCTTCAGTGGCCTTGGAGCCCCTGACCTTGTCTGTGTCTCCTGTGGCTACATCATTCTCAGCATGAGGAATGAGTCTACCTCCCCTGGGAGACTGCAGCTTTCTGGGCCAGGGATCTCATTCACCATCTTGCCCAGGAGGCTGAGGCTGTTGCTGTCTGAATTTGACCAAGGAGTGAGGGAGAGAGACTGGCTGAGGGCCTGAGCTGCACTTAGTAACAGGCCTGTGAGTCCAGGTCTGAGTCTAATGGTTCAGGTGTGCTGGAAACCCAACAAAAGGTCGGAGGGAGTCACGTGATCTCCTCCAGGTCCCCTGTCCCACCTCTGGTCAAAGCTGACACAGGTGGGTGCCCCCACTCTGCCCAGATCTGCACCCACACAACTAGGGCTGCTGAGGAACTGTGAGCTGAACTGCCCTTTCTGGGCTTTACTCTCTCCATCTGTAGAATGAGGAGATTGCAACCTGTCCTCCCTCCCTCCCTCCCTCTTGTGCCCCTGGGGATTTAGGGCAGAAGGGAAGCAAAGCAACACCCACACTGTCCCAGTCCTGAAGGCCAGCAAGTGGCTCCACTTTGCAAAAGATGGGGAAGTCCTGGTCCGGCACCCAAGGGACCTACCCAGGATGGCTCCCTGGCTCTGCACCACCGGCTCACCCTGGGCCACCAGCTGAGCCTGGACTATGACTTCCCATGGGGAGTTAAAGATGGTCACGCTGATGACTTCCTCCACGCCCGCGCGAAAAACAGAGGGAGCTGCAATCAGGTAACCCCTGTAGGAAAGGAGATCCGAGGTGAAGTTCTCACCCGCAGCCCCCTGGCCTCGCTACCACCGTGGCTAGGTCAGGGCTCTCCCCGCAGCAGACTCCTGCCTTTTCCTGACCACACCTGGCTGGCACTGATGCTCTAGGAGTTTGTTCCCCCCAACATTATTTCTTGAGGCCAGGGATTGGCTCATTCACCTCTGAAGTCCCCATGCTGGGTAAGAATCTGGCCTCACTGGATTTTTCAGCATCACACATCCCCTCTTACTCTCTGTATTCCAGCCTCCAGGCTGTTTGCTCAGCTACTTCCTTCTGCCCCCGGACCTTTGTTTGTTTGTTTGTTTGTTTTTGTTTTGTTTCTGGAGACAGACTTGCTCTGTCCCCCAGGCTGGAGTGCAGTGGCGTGATCTCGGCTCACTGCAACCCCGCCTCCCAGGTTCAAGGGATTCTCGTGCTTCAGCCTCCCGAGTAGCTGGGATTACAGGTGTCTCTCACCAAGCCTGGCTGATTTTTGTCTTTTTAGTAGAGACAGGGTTTTGCCATGTTGGCCAGGATGATCTCAAACTCCTGACCTCAAATGATCCACTCTCCTTAGCCTCCCAAAGTTCTGGGATTACAGGCGTGAGCCACCATGCCCAGCCCATCTGGCCAGGACCTTTGCACATGTCCTGCCCACTGTCTGAAATACTCTCCTCCACAAGTCAGGTAACCAGCAGGATCCCACTTCATCCTCACAGTGCACCCCCACCCCCACCATCATGAGAAGTACTGACATCAGCCCCATTCAGAGAGAAAGGAAACCCTGGAGAAGTCAAGTCACTAGCCCCAACAGTGACAGACCAGGATTCTAACTCAGGCAGCCAGACTCCAGAACCTGATAAAAAGAAGCAAAGGGCTTCTTTGCAACATTCATTTTAAGAACAAACCCTGAAAACAAACTATAGGGTCTCAAACAGAAAAAATTCTGAAAACGATGGAATCAAGGCAGGCGTCTCTTTCCTAAAATCTTCTGATTGACTATGAAGTCACCTCTGGAAGGGAGGCATTACCCCCACTTTCCCAATGGGAAGTTGATGCTTCAGAAGGATAGGAACATGCACCAGATCACACAGCTGAGCAGAAGAGGGTGCTGGGGTGTCCTTAAGGGACATGACCTGAGGACCCAGGTCCTCCCCACCTGAGCTCCTGTCTCCCAGTATCTGCAGACTTCCCTGGAAAATTACAAAGGCCATGTAACCTCATGAAATGCTTACAGTGTCCCCACAATCACCAAGAGCATTATAGCAAAGGCACCACAATTGCAACCATGTAGCATGATGGAAATCCGAAGAAAAGAGGGTAAAGAGGAAAACTGGACCATGCAATGAGATTAGGAGACATTTTCATTTCAATATATTTTATTTATTTATTTATTTATTTATTTTTAATTGAGACTGAATCTTGCTCTGTTGCCTAAGCTGGAGTGCAGTGATGTGATCTCAGCTCACTGTACCCTCCAACTCTAAGGTTCAAGGGACTCTCCTGCCTCAGCCTCCAGAGTAGCTGGGACTACAGGAGTGTGCCACCACACCTGGCTAATTTTTGTATTTTTCGTAGAGACAGGGTTCCACCATGTTGGCCAGGCTTGTCTTGAACTCCTGACCTCAAGTCATCTGGCCGCCTTGGCCTCCCAAAGTGCTGGGATTACAGGCCCACTGCACCTGGCCTCAATAGTGTCTCTAGAACAACCCAACATCCACGTGCATTGAGACCACGTGAATTGAGACCATTACCTCACATCATGCAATTAGATTAACTCAAAGTTAATCTTAGTAACAGATCTAAATTGAAGAAGTAAAACTTGTAGAAGCACTAGAAGATAACAAAGGAGAAAGTCATTGCGTGCTTAGATTAGGCAAAGATTTCTTGGGTAAGATACCAAAACTATCCATAAAATAACTCATGATAAACCAAACTTCATGAAAACATCATTACAAATTTTGTATCTCAAAAGACGCAGTGGGTTTGTGTTGTTTCATGCACACGAACAATGGGTTTGGGTTGTTTACTGCAGCCCTGGCCACAGTGGGCACTGACCCTGTGATCATAGTGTGCTCCATCTGCCTTGAATAATTACCAGAGTTCAGTCCCCTGGGGTCACACATGTGCTGTCCAACTCTAGGACCAACTGGAGTTTGCAAGACCCTAGGTGTGTGCTGTGTATTACATAACTCCAGCACTGACCAGGACACGCAATTACCCTGGGTTTGTAGGTGTCCTGTCCAGCTCTAGCACAGGAATGTGGCATCCTTTAGAAGGGACATACTTTTTATGTCTGGCTCCCAGCAGATCCCTAGAGCTTAGCCTCACATATAGTACGTGGTGAGTATAGAAGACAGAATGAGGAATAAGTGTTCATTTTGCTTCGTCACCTTTGAAAGTCCTAACAATATGGGTTTGAGTCTACTTCCAACTGCCCAGAGAACCTGACATCACCAAATTACATTTCCCTGCCATTCAGAAGTTGCGGCTGTTTCCAGCTGTTGGGATGCCTGCCAGCCATTCACTATCACACCTGACCCACCCCTAGCATCTGGGCCAACACTGGCTTCTCATCCTGCTGGTCTCAGAAGGTCCCAGATTGGGGAAAGTGATGTCCGGGTCAGTGTAGACAGAATTGCTTTTACAACTGCAAAGCTATGCTGCTTTCTGGGATCAGAAATTCCTCACACAAAAATCTCTCAGGTCACAGAAGTGGGCATCCAGAGCTATTCCTAAGACGGGATCCTTTGGGCTGGGTGAACTATGCCCCTGGTTTAGAGGCCAGCTACTCTGGAATCCCAGGTCGGTCATTTGGGGACGTTTCTTCCCCAGTGTGTCTGTCAGTACAGGGATTCCATGTCACTTAACAGATGGTAAGATCCCAGGGTGACTTTAGTCAGAGGCAAACGCCCTGGAGAACTGTTTAAAATTCTCCAACGGGCCAGGCACAGTGACTCACCCTGTAATCCGAGCACTTTGGGAGGCCGAGGTGGGTGGATCACCTGAGGTCAGGAGTTCCAGAACAGCCTGGCCAACATGGAGAAACTCCATCTCTACTAAAAAAATACAAAAAATTAGCCGGGTGTGGCGGCACATGCTTGTAATCCCAGCTACTCGGGAGGCTGAGGCAGGAGAGTCATTTGAACCTGGGAGGTAGAGGCTGCAATGAGCCGAGATCATGCCATTGCACTCCACCCTGGGCAATAAGAGTAAAACTCCGTCTCAAAAATAAAAAATTAAAAAATTTAAAAACACCTCTTTATAAGGCAGGGTCTGTCATTGGACCCAAGGTCTGTCATGTGGGGCCGTGTCATTCCTTGTGGTGGAAGCTGACCTGCGCATCCAAAGCTGTTTACCAGCATTCCTGACCTGCGCTCACTTGACGCCAACACCAAATGCCTCCCCCTATTTGTGACAACCAGAAATACCTCCAGACATTTCCCAATGGCCTCAGGGAGACAGAAATCCCCACTCCACCCCCACCCCAGGGCTTAGAACCACTATTCTAAGGGATGTCAGCTTTGAAAGAAGCATCAGGATGAAAATTTGCAGGGTTCCTATTTCACGAAGCCTAGGAGAGGAAAGTCTGGATGCTCAGAGCGCAGTAGACTGTCTTGCTTTTAAAACTGTAACCAGCAAGGACCAGGTACTCACAGCAAATAACGACACCCACCTAGTCTCACTGCTTACCAGCTTTCTGGAAACTCCTAAACAAGGGCTGCTTGAACAAGCCGCCTCCTAAACGCCCAGCTGGACTAAAAGGCTGGGCTTGTGCAGACCAAGGCAGCCCCCCTGAACCCACAGCCCTGCAGAGCTCACCAGAACTTGCCAGGTTTAGAAATATTCTCTGTGAAGCCAACTTAGGAGTTCTCCCCAGCAGCTAGTTAATTCACCTTCTCCCCGCCATCAACCCACCAGGAGCCTGCAAGCAAACCTCTAGAAAAATGTAGAAGCAAAACAAACATTTTCTCCCCCCTCACCACGCCCACCCACGGGAAACTGCCCGTTCCCACTCTCCTCCCACTTCTCAGCCAAGACGTGCCTCTTACCTTCATGCCTTGGACAACTGGAAATCGCCACCCAAGATGACAGCCCGGGTCACACGAAGGGGTCGAGGTGGGGCGGGGGGAGCTGACCTCAGCGCCTTTAGCTTTTGGAAGTCCCTGTACCTCCACAGTCACTTTGGAAACTTTAGGGCGCCCCCTCCCCAAGACAATTCGGGAACAAGAGGCCAGGTCCAGCCCAGCGCGGAGGCTGTGTGGCCTTGGGTAGGTCGCTGCGACCCTCTGAGCCAGTCCCTACGACCCCCACCCCAGAAGGCGACCGACCTCCTCTGTCGCCGGGGATACTCACGGGGCCTGAGGCTGCGCGGCGCGCACGCCGTCCCGCGCCGACAGCAGTAGGAGCAGGAGCTGGAGCAACGGCCAGAGCAGGGCGCAGCTCATTTTTCGGCTCCGGGGGTGCGCTGCGCCTGGGGAGGGGGCCGGGCCAGGGCTGGGCCAGGGCCAGAGTCCGAGCGCGGCCGTCCTCGCGCCGCCGCCGGGGGCCCTTTGTTCGCAGCCCCCGCGCAGTGCGCCCGGCGCCATGCGCCCCGCTCTGCGCCCGGCCAAGCTGGGGCAGCCCCGGGCCAGCCCCCTCCCCGGACCCGCCTCGTCTCCGGGCCCGCCCAGCTCGCCCCGCTCGCCCCACTCCTGGGCGCACCCTCCTGGGACGCCTGCTCCGCCCATCTCCGGACCCTGACCCGCCCCGATCCCTTCCCGCGATCGTCCCCCCACTTACTCCCCGACCCACCCGGGCCCTGCCCAATTCCTCCCGAACCCGCCTCCTCGCCCCCTACCCGGATTCGCCCCCGGATTCCCCCGTCCCCACCAGCCCCGCCTCGGACCCGACCCCCAACCGCCCTCTCCTCTCCACCCAGCGTCCACTTGGAACCTGCCCCTTCCCTGGCCTCTCGCCCCCTCCCTCCCCAGCCACCCCCCTTATGGCCCCCTCCCCGGGCCCACCCCTCCCCAGGGGCCGCTGGGTCTGGACGCCGCCTGCAACCTCCATCCCACAGGGGCGGCTGTGCCCCAGGCCCTGGCCTGTATCTGGTGCCCAGTACAGTGCGTGCAGCCGGAGGAGCAGAGGATCCTTTGGGGAAACAGTCTAGCCAGGGATCGAACCTTCCAGACCCACATCTGCCCCAGGCCCCTATCTGTCCTCTCATCTCCCCTCTCCCCTACCCCCAATGTCCACAAATCCCTTGGGCCTGTCCCCTCTCTCTCTGGGCCTCAGAGTCCCCCTTCCCCTCCCATACAGCAGGGATGGATGGGCACCTCCTTTCTCTCCAAGAGCAGGGTGTCCCCTCCTGCCCCTCCCCGTGTGGCCACTTCAGCGATGGTCCTGCTGTCCTAGGTCCCACTGGCAGGCGGCACATCCTATACCATGTCCCAGTCCTGGACCCTCTCCCTCCAATGTGGAGCCCCCTTCCCCCAGCTACCGGCTGCCCTCCTAAAATTCCAGTGCTGACCACACCTCCTCCTGCCAGGAATCCTCGGGGCTCCCTGTTTATTTTATGTTTTATTTTTATGTTTTGAGACCAGAATTTTGCTCTGTTGCCCAGGCAGGAATTTAGTGGCGCAGTCACAGCTCACTGCAGCCTCAAACTCCTGGAGAGTAGCCGGGACTACAGGTGCAAGCCCACACCCAGCTAATTTTTATATGTATATATTTTTAGAAACGGAGTTGCACTGTGTTGCCCAGGCTGGTCTTGAACTCTGGGCTCAAATGATCCTCCCTCCTCAGCCTCCCAGAGTGCTAGGATTACAGGTGTGAGCCACCACATCCAGCCAGGGCTTCCCGTTTATTGAGACGAAATCCAAACTCTGGCTTTGATGGCAGAGACCTCAGCCCAGTTCCTCCAACACCTTGTTCTCACTCCACTGCCTGCTTCTGCCTAAGCTCTGTCTTCCTCTACCTGCCTCCTTCGCCAGACAAATTCCTGATCATTCCAGGAAATTCGAGGGAAGCTTCTCTTGCCCCCTCCCTGCCCCTAGGGATGTGGGTCCTCTGGGGGCTTCTCAGCCCTGTCCACGGCCTTTGGACCCAGCACTGATCACTCAGGCAGCACCAAGCCCTGGATTGGGCGGTGAGGACCCGGGGACATACAGTACCTGCTGCCACTGAGCACACAAGCAGAGGGGATGTAACTGATGATGGTGTGTGGATGTGTGTGGGTGTGTGCACGCATGCAGGGGCCAGAGTGGATTGAGTAGCTGTCGCTCCTGCCCGAAGAGGAGGAGTTGCTGCCTACCTCCAAGCTCAGACCAGGCCAACCCCAAGCAGGCTGCTAAACTCACATGGAGGTGCAAAAATTTAGCACCAAGAAGCAGCATCTGGTCTCACCCTCATCATCGAAATTTGCCCCCTGCCACCCCTCCAGGCCAATTCTGACTCCTACCTAAGCCAACCTCCACTCCTCAGCCTCCAGGCCAGCCTTTGACCCCTCCACTTCCTCCTTGACCATTGGGCTCTGGCCACACTGGCCTTTGAGATACATCAGACCCCCACCCACCCACCACCACCACCATCTTGGGCCGAGGTGCCAGCTGTTCCCTCTGCCTGGGATGCACTTCCCTGTGGGATCACAAGACCGGCCACTCTTCTCCACCTTCAGGGTTAGCCCTGAGGTGCCTTTCCTGCCTGTCTGTGTTGTAAGGTCTAAAATGTCAGTGCTGCCTTGGCATGGTTGAGCCACACAGGACCACGATGTCCTGACCAACTGTTCAGCTACTCTCGCCAAATATGCCCCCTGCCTGGCAAGAGAAGTTGCTCTCCACCTGGCTGTCTCACCAAGCAACCAGACCAGCTGTACCCCACCCATCAGCCACAGACTTCACTTCCCTAGCTGCTGAGAAGTTATTGAAACAAGCCATGGCCAGGCACAGTGGCTCATGCCTGTATCCCAGCACTTTGGGAAGCCGAGGCGGGTGGATCACCTGAGGCCAGGAGTTCGAGACCAGCCTGGCCAACATGGTGAAAACCCGTCTCCACTAAAAATACAAAAATTAGCCAGGTGTGGTGGTGCAAACCTGTAATCCCAGCTACTCGGGAGGCTGAGGCGGGAGAATCGCTTGAACCCGGGAGGTGGAGTTTGCAGTGAGCTGAGATTGCGCCACTACACTCCAGCCTGGGTGACAGAGCGAGACTCCATCTCAAAAAAAAAGAAAGAAAGAAACAAGCCAATCATATCCTCCCAGGAGAACCAGGAGCCGCCTCACCCTCTTATTACTACAAAGCCTGCTTCCCACAGCCCCTGGTTGTTCATTGTGCTCCTAAGTGCAACCCCTGTGTGACCTCGTACAGTGTACAGGGTCCTCCTCCCCTCATTGTGTGAGAATAGGTGAGCACTAAACTGTAGATCTCACCTACCCAATGTCACATGTTGTATATTTGGCCATCTCATATTCCTTTTTTTTTTTTTTTTTTTTTTTTGAGACAGAGTCTTGCTCTGTAGCCCAGGCTGGAGTGTAGTGGCATGACCTCAGCTCACTGCAAGCTCTGCCTCCCGGGTTCATGCCATTCTCCTGCCTCAGTCTCCCAAGTAGGTGGGACTACAGGCGCCTGCCACCATGCCCAGCTAATTTTTTGTATTTTTAGTAGAGACAGGGTTTCACCGTGTTAGCCAAGATGTTGTCGATCTCCTGACCTCGTGATCTGCCCGCCTCAGCCTCCCAAAGTGCTGGGGTTACAGGCGTGAGCCACGGCACCCGGCCTTTTTTTTTTTTTTTTAAACAAAGTCTCGCTCTGTCACACAGGCTGGAGTGCAATGGCGTGATCTCAGCTCACTGCAACCTCCACCTCCTGGGTTCAAGCCATTCTCCAGCCTCAGCCTTCTGAGTAGCTGGGATTACAAGCACCCGCCACCACGCCCCGCTAATTTTTTTATTTTTAGTAGAGACAGGGTTTTGCCATGTTGGCCAGGCTGATCTCGAACTCCTGACCTTGTGTGATCCGCCCGCCTCAGCCTCCCAAAGTCCTGGGATTACAGGCCTGAGCCACTGTGCCCGGCCTAATGGGAGACGGTGGCAGATCACCAGGCATTAGATTCTCCTAAGGAGCACACAACATAGATCCCTCACATGCGCAGTTTGCAATAGGGTTTGGGCTTCTGTGAGAATCTAATGCTGCTGCTGATCTGACAGGGGGTGGAGCTTGGGAGATAAAGTGAGCAATGGGGAGAGGCTATAAATATAGGTGAAGCTTTGCTTACTCATCCAATATCAGACCGGTGTCAGTCTGTGGCCCAGGGGTTGGAGACCCTTGATTTAGATGATGGGTGAACAGGAGTCAGTGAGATCACTAGCATGGCCCGGTCATCCAGTTTGAGTGCATGGTACACAAAGCACGGAGCATGGTCTTATTATTCCGTATACATCTGCTTCCTGTCTGTCTTCTTTGGGATGTGAGCCCCCCGTTTGCTGCTGGCCCCAGCCCCTGGCTCAAAGCGGGCACTCCTCACACAGATTACTGCCTCACCAGCACACAGGAGAAGGCTCAGCTCGCTGCTTAGAAGAGTCAGTTGATACTGTTCCATAAATTATACAAGCCTGAGTTAACAAAGCCATCACCAAAAACTAAATTATACAGATTTGCAATGAAACACATTATACAGGTTGAGTAGCCAAAATGCATTATCGGCTGGGTGCAGTGGCTCATGCCTGTAATCCCAGCACTTTGGAAGGCCAAGGTGGGTGAATCACTTGAGGTCAGGAGTTCGAGACCAGCCTGACTAACATGGTGAAACCCCGTCTCTACAAAATACAAAAATTAGCTGGGTGTCATGGCAGGTACCTGTAATTCCAGCTGCTTGGGAGGCTAAGGCATGAGAATCACTTGAATCAGGAAGGTGAAGGTTGCAGTGAGCCAAGAATGGGCCACTGCGCTCCAGCCTGGGCAACAGAGCCAGACCCTGTCTCAAAAAAAAGAAAAAATGCCTAATCTAAAATGCACTTTCCAAAATGGTCAGTGCAAGTGCAAGAAATGTTCCAGATTTTTAATATTTCAGATTTGGGGATATTTACATTATACTTACTGGTAGAGTATTGTGTGTGTGTGTGTTTGTGAGAGAGAGAGAGAGAGAGAGAGAGAGAGAGAGAGAGAGTCTGGTTCTGTTGCCTAGGCTGCAGTGCAGTGGTGCGATATTGGTTCACTGCAACCTTCACCTCCTGGGTTCAAGCAATCCTCCCACTTCAGCCTCCCAAGTAGCTAGGACTATAGGCACATGCCACCACATTTGGCTAATTTTTGTATTTTTCTAGAGACAGGGTTTCTCCATGTTGCTCAGGCTGGTCTCGAACTTCTGAGCTGAAGTGAGCCACCTGCTTCAGCCTCCCAAAGTGCTGGGTTTACAGGCATGAGCCATCGTGCCCAGAGTATCTTTAATCTGAAAATCTGAAATCTGAAA